GACCCGCTTGCTGTTAGGCTGTTTGCAAGGACATAAGCTCGTGGCTAGCTCTCTATGGGACACCAGGTGTGAACACTCACTACGTGCCTCTCCTCTCCTCCTTTGTGGGAGTCATCGCTCCAGAGATGAAAATCGTACTTATAATTTGAAAAGCGCTTGCGTAAAATTAGTTTTTCGGCTTCACCTAAGAGAACATTCCAGTCAGAAAGTGTAGTTGGGGAGACAACGAAGTTTGTTGGGGGGCTAAAATCGAACAAAATATTGAAAATCAGATGAAATGCTACAGGTGTCTTTTGGTATGATAACAAAGATGCATGTTGCATGTATCTGACACTAGCCATAAACATCAAGGTTCTTTGGTTGTGTCCATTGTGACCATGAGCAAATGTCTTCACAAGGGAATACCCCTTTTTGGCGCTTTCACTGTTGCCCTGTAATATCTGTTTTAGTTTTGAGAAAGCAGATCTTGTGCCCGTTAGCTTGTGTCTGACTTGTTTTCCTTTTTTCAGTAGACGTCAGAATTTTTTGGACACTTTTTAAGTTGAGTTTGAAGCCTCAACACGTCCTTTTTCGATTGGATGTTCCTTCCTTTTACAAATACTGAAATTATGAAAAGGTGACACAATGAAGAAATGTAAAATGGTTTCCGTGTTTACATAGCCTGATGTAAACACGCGGGAGGTTGGGAGAACACGAGATAAGGGTAGGAAACCACGACGCGAAGCGATGTCTGAGATTTCAGGGGGTTACGGTTTCCATGTGTGGGGTATCTCTCCGTGAGGCCTAAATTTGCATAAAGGATCCATTTCAAATAACCTCTACGTCATCACACCTGTGAACAGAAACAATCACGTATCTTCTAACGTTACTTCGACGAACTCCTCACTTCATACAAATTCGCTCGTAAATCCGCGTTCAATTCTAAACTTTGCGGTCTTCAATTCAAGATCTGTTAGGAAGAAGATCGAGAGTATCATTGCTCACATCGTTGAAAATGACATCGGCCTCTGCACTGTTACCGAGACCTGGTTGAATGACGCTGACTCCGTCAGTATTGCTAAGTTATCTGTGGCTGGCTATTCCTTGAAGAATTTTCCCAGACAATCGCACAATCGTGGTGGTGGTATTGGGGTTCTGTTTCGAGACTCTCTCAAAGTTTCATTAGTGGATAGGAAGGAAAACAAGTCTTTTGAATTTTGGGAGTGGACTGATAAAGTGCACGATCGCTCTATGAGATATGTAATAGTGTATCGACCTCCATATTCTTCGTTACACCCGTATCAACCTCTTTCTTTTTCGATAAATTCTCTCAGTTTTTAGAGAATGTTGTTATGTGTCCCGAGGTTCTTGTTATCTCTGGAGACTTCAATCTTCATTTACATGACCTCCGTGACAGTGACACCAAGGAATTTATGGATTTACTGGAAACGTTCAGTCTTTCACAACACGTTTCGGGCCCGACCCATTTATCGGGTCATACCTTAGATTTAATTATTACTCGTTCCTCAGATGATATTGTTCTTGCTTCCCCTTAAACTACTTTTCCCATCTCTGATCATTTAATTATTCAGTGTCCTATTGGTTTCTCACGACCAGCTTTGTAATGCAAAAAACTGACTTTTCGTAAACTTAAAGATATTGATATTGCTGCGTTCTCAGCTGATATTGCCTCTTCTATGCTTTGTGCAAGCGTGCACTGGGACAACATTGATACACTCTCCGACTACTTTAACAAGACCCTTACTAACATACTGAATAAGTTTGCCCCGCTTAAAACAACGACCATGATTAATCGTCCAAAGGTCCCATGGTTTAATGATGACATTAAACAACTCAAGCGTCAACGTGGTCGCCTTGGAAAGAGAGGCGTGATAACCGACCTCCCTGGTGACTGGAATAATTACCATAAAGTTCGTAATCAGTACTCTGCAATTCTTAAATCTGCACGTGTGAATTATTATTCAAACCTAATTGATCAGTGTGCGGGTGACTCTCGCAGGTTATTTGGTGTGGTTAATTTGTGTTGGGAACCACTTGAGACGGCTCTTCCAGAGCACACTGAACCCACAAAGCTAGCAAACGAATTTGGCACCTTCTTCCTCAATAAAAATTGAAATCATAAAGGAAAATATTGACAAGTCTCAAGTTCAGGAACCTCGACTTATTCCTGTTACTCCTAATGAGAATATGGAGAGATTTACGCGCTATCCATCTAGGAAGTGTCTAAGATTGTTCGAGAATCCTCCAATGCCTCCGGTCGGCTGGATCCTGTTCCTACATGGCTACTGGACTCTTGTCTTGATGTATTAGCGCCTCCTGTCACTGAGATGGTAAATCTCTCTCTTCTCAGTGGTCACGTTCCAGAAAATTGGAGAACCGCCGTTGTCTTTCCTCTACTGAAAAAAACTGGACTTGATTTGGTCTATAAAAATTTTCGTTCAGTCAGTAATCTTCTATTCATTTCCGTGGTAGTGGAAAAGGCTGCACTTCAACAACTTCTCGTCCACTGTGAAAAAAATGCCAATTTGCATATATTTAAGCAGACGTTTAAGTGTGTAGGCCTACATACCATCAAGAGTGCCTTATCCAAAAATTATTTTGTATTCTCCTTTGATTTGAAAGCGGGTTATCATCATGTAGATACTTTTCAGGACCATCGCAAATATTTGGTTTTCTCGTGGGATTTTGGCACAGGTGTTGACAGATATTTTCAATTTACGGTTTTACCTTTTGGGCTTTATAGTGCTCCTTTTATTTTCACAAAGCTCCTAAAACCTTTGGAAGCCCACTGGAGGGGACAAGGAATTCCAATCGCTTTATTGTTTGATGACGGCATTGGGGCGGGTTCCTCGTTGAATTCTGCCAAGATTAACAGTTCCATTGTTCGTGCGGATCTTGCACGCTGTGGCTTCGAAATTAACAAAGGAAAGTTGGGAGCCCGAGAAGAAATTTTCTTGGATTGGCTATGATATTGACACTCAAACGGGGTTCATATTCGCAAGTGCAGTGAGAATGAAAAAACTGTTAAATGACCCTAATGAGGTTTGTTCTGTTTTAGAGGCGTCTGCGTTCGTGCATATAAAGAGAATCGCTTCTATTGTCGGTCAATTATTTCGATGTCTCCAAGCTGTGGAAACGTTACTGAAATCATGACTAGGTACTTGCATCTAGTTATCAATATTCGTCACTCCTGGAGTTCAATGGTCGATCTTACTGATCCTTCGAAGGAAGAGCTTAAATTTTGGCGAGACAATCTTAGATCCTTGAATGGAATTCCTTTTTGGGAGAAGCCTTTTGTGCCTTGCAAGGAATTGTTTTCAGATGCTTCTTCCACTGGCTGCGGAGCCTTCATTAAAGGTTTCAGCTTAATTTGCCATAGAAATTGGTCCACCAAAGAATCTCTAAAATCTTTTACCTGGAGAGAGTTAGTCGCCATAAAGTTCGCCCTTGATTCCTTTGAAGATCATCTGGTTGGTCGGAGAATTTGCTGCATAACGGATAGTCAAAATGTCGTGAGAATTGTTCAAGTTGGTAGTATGATTAAGGAGTTGCAAGACATTGGTTTGGATATTTTTCTTTTATGTTTCGTCAACAAATTCAGTTGGATGTTTCTTGGGTACCACGAGATTGTAATTCGCACGCAGATTTTGTGAGTAAGATAGTCAACTTTGACGATTACTCAGTTCATAATGACATTTTTCTCTTGCTCGAAGACCGCAGGGGTCCACGTTCGATCGACAGATTTGCCTGCGGTTATAACACCAAATTGCCAAGATTCAACTCCAGACTCCTCCAACCCGGCACAGAAGCTGTGGATGCGTTTACACAGGATTGGTCATCGGAAAACAACTGGCTTGTTCCACCCATCACACTCGTTGGTAGATTGTTAAGCCATATGAGAGACTATAAGGCGGTTGGTTCTTTAATCGTACCCATGTGGAAGTCCGCGTATTTTTGGCCGTTACTATGTAGTAATGGTATGCATTTAAATTTTTTTTGTAAAGGATTGCTTGTTTCTCCCCAACAAACCGGATTTGTTCATCAAAGCTAAAGCAAAGAAAAAACTGTTTGGTACTAAGGCATTCAAATTCCGATGTTTGGCGCTTCGTATTAACTTTGCGCATTACAGTTGTCGCTCTTTAGTGGGTTTTGGCACCTCCCCTTACGCCTTTCGTTCGGCTTGCCGATCAAGAGTACCCTGAGGTGTCTCGTGTTTTTTAAAATTGTGACTAGTCGAAGACTGCAGCGAAGTTTACGTTTCTTGACTGAATTTCTATTATATTGGTTGTTGTTGTTGTTAGGTAATGCATATTTTGTACTTTTAAGGCATTGTTCAGGTTGTTCTGTATGCACCCCGGTGTGCCGTGCTAGTTGCAGCCTGTGTGGCCCCTCGGTGGCGTTTGGCTGTAGTGTGACATACACTCCTTGGCGAAGTTATACGTTTGCCATTGTTTGGCTGCTTGCTGACAATCGCAGTGTGTGGGAATACTTAGTGTGTTTAGATGCAATCTCTTATAGGCTTACATATTATGTTAGGTTTGTGTAATGCTTATGTTGGGGGCCCCCGGTGCCTAAATCCACATAGAAAAGTGTTTACCCTAGCGGTATCTTTGATCTGCATCATCCGTGGTTAGGGAAAGTTGTTTCATAATTTTATCTTTTGTTTATTTTTCGCGTAGGGAGACACAACGATGTAGTACTAAATTAAATGTGTACCCTTCGGTGTTGCCAAGAGCATTTTAATGTCTTGTTTCGCGCTATGGTCGACCCGAATGGTATTGAGGTGTATAATAATCGCAGCCTAGGTGTTAAGGAGATTTTTATCCTCCATTAGTTTCTTGTTCGGAGAGCTTACACTGGAGTTGGCGCAGCTACGTTGTGTTTACAGTCCCAGCGAATGTGTCTTCACTATCGTATTCTCGACCCCATTCAGATCTTAAATGTCATCGTTTGTACTATTTGTTTGCCTTTCCCCTTTTTGGTTTGTTTTTCTCTTTTCAGATGTGTTCAATCATGGCGTGTGGCAGTGCCTTGACGAGTTGAGTGACCCGTCGCTGAGAAATCTTGCGTCTAGACTGGAGTCCACTGTCATTGCATCAAGAGCACCAGGTACCACCGACGCCTATAGGAGAGCTTTTCTGAGGTGGAAAGTGTTCGCCAGTTCCAAGAGGGACATTTGTGCTTTTCCTGCAAAGTCAGAGCATGTGGCGTTATACTCACAGCATTTACTGGATACTACCCATTCCCACTCAGTGGTCGACTCTGCCATATTTGGAATACAATGGGCACACCATTTGGCGGGTTTACCTTCCCCTATAGACAGCCCTATCATCCACGCAGTTAGCAGAGCCGCTAAAAGAATAATGCGAACTCGCGTTTGTAATAAGAAAGAGCCAGTTTCTCCAGACATGATAAGGAAGCTTGTTGAAAAATTCCAATCTAGATAATTTACTTGAATTACGAAATGAGTGTATTTTTATTCTTGCTTTCGCTGGTTTCTTCCGAATTGAGGAGGTTCTTCATATTAGATATGGTGACGTTAGTTTTCATAGTGACTACCTAACTTTATGATAAAGCTCGGATATAACACGTACTGTCATTGGTTGAAAGAGCGTGCTTTATGAGAGTATAGAGCATAGAACTGAGCTAAAGCTGTCACGCCGTCTGCCAAATCGTACTATGTCCGACCTTTTCCGGGACTTCTTTCTAGCTTTTCTTTCGTTAATAAAAGTGAAATTTCGGAACAAGCGAGCAAAGGTTTGCAAAAATACGAGGCGCAGTAATTTACGTTACTGTAACGTGAGCAGAGACAAAAATCCTCAAAGATAAAACAAGATGGACAGTCCGAGTTTTTTTAACGGTTTTCACGCTCTGTTAGATTGCGAGTTTACGTACGGTAATAAAAATCAAACACAGCTAACACTTGTATAGTATATAAAGTTTCGATTTCAAATAGAAAAAAACAGGAATTATGAAAAATATAGCCTGGCATATAACCTGGCATATTTCCCTTTCTTTGGCTCTAGTAGGATGTGTAGACTACAAGACCGGCTGACTCTCCTATATAAACTTTCACATTGAATATCTCGCCTGAGTGTAGTCAGAATATGCAATTTCTGACGTTTGAGTGACATGGGAACGAATTAATCAGAAATTGATGTCACTTCAAAGTTCATAAATCCAGCCTAGCTGCAGGCGTCCGCACGCAGACCGGATATCCTCTAACAGGAACAGGTTCAGGGACAGGCTCACTCAAATTTGTTGGACTTCTGGCTGCCATTTTATTAACTGGGATGATAAAAATTCTTATTGGATTCACTGGGAACGTCTAGCTTTCGACGTTTCTCTGGAGCATGAATAGTCTGGCTCAAGGTTGTGGTTGGCCTCCTTGCACTAAATTACCCGGAGAGTGGTTCTTTCCTAATGAGGTGGCTAATCACATAAGAAACTTGTTGGCGGAAAACCAGCCTCCATGTTGCTGGCTGCTACTGTTCACTGGCTTCAGACACTAGGGCCCCACGACTCTCAACCTGGATTGGAAGTTCTGAGGTCTGGGTAAGAGGATTGCTGCTTGGCGTTACTAGAATTCTGGTGTCTCTCAGTGGGTCTGTGTATCGACGCCACATTAAGCCAGATTTGATTTCTACTTCGCAAGAAAGGGGGCCAAGTTGTGCTCGGATGATGCTAAGTACCCATTTTGTACCACCAGTGTAATTTCGAGCTATCACTGTCTGACGGATGGAGAATTCTTTGGTCATAGCACTACCCTTCGTGACGGTTCGGTCTATCCGACAGTTGCTTATCCTCAAGCGGAGATCTGGTTTCAGCAATTCCAGTCGAGTGCGTATTCGTCTACCCAAAAATTGCTGAGATGGCGCTTCTCCAGTGGTTAGATGGGGGTATTTCTGTAAGCTAGCAGGAACTTTGCCGGCTTAATGTTCAGAGGTTTTACTTCCGTTTCAATCTTCATGGCTGATTTGAAACTCTGCACACAGCGCTCGGTTAGAATAATGCCGGCAGGATGGTATGATACAGATGTCAGATGTTTGATTCCGTTTCTCTTAGGAACATCTGAAACTCTTCAGAATTAAACTGTGGCCCGTTGTCACTCACTAACTAGTATGGCACACCATATCTAGCAGATAACCTCTGCAGTTTCTCAATTGTTTTCGAGCTCGTGGTGTCCTTTTTCCATTTCTAACCACCTAGAATGGGCATCCATGACAATCAAAAACATGCAGCCAAGGAAAGGTCCAGTAAAATCAACATAGATTTGCTGCCAGGGTGACGATGGCCATTTCCATAGATGTTCAGGTGTGGTTCATCCTGCATTAGCTGACAACCCGAGCAGGTCTTCGCGGTTTCCTCAATTTCCTTGTTGATTCCTGGCCACCAGATGTAGCTTCTTGCTTGGGCCTTCATCTTCACAACTCCAAAATGTCTTCGACGGAGTTCTTCAAGCACTTGTGGACGAAGTTTGGGGGTACTATGACTCTGATTCCCCAAATCAAACAGCCTGAGTGTACTGTTATCTCATCCCTGTGGGGGTAGAAGGGGTCGAATACAGGAACATGGCCGCTTAGCTATCGTTTAGTCACCATTTCGTGGACTTGCCTCAAGACAGGGTCCCTTTGGGTTTCTTTTCAGACGTTTTCAACTGTGATTGGTAACGGCTCAAACTCTATCACATTGAAAGCATTCACTGGATCCACAACTTCTTCTGCTCTCTCTTCGGTTTTAAGTGCCAGCCGGGAAAGGCCATCTGCATTGTTTTGCACTTTAGTGTTCCTGTACTCGATTTGGAAGTCATAGCCAGCCAGGAGTAATACATAGCGCTGAAGCCTGACTGCCGTAACCACTGGAATGCTCTTGTGTGGATGGAGGACAGATTTTAACGCCTGATGATCGGTATACAGGGTCAACGATCGACCGAACAAATACACATGGAACTTCTTGACTCCCCAGATTATTGCTAACCCTTCTTTGGCAATTTGCACCTACCCTTACACAGTTTTTGCGAGTGTCATAGAAGTAATAGCAATGGGTCGCTCAGTCTCATCATTCATTACGTGGGATAGCACGGCATCATTTCTTTCACGTTGTGGAATGCTGTTTTGCATTGTTCTGTCCATTTCAATTGATAGTTGTTCTCTAACAACTGGTTCAAAAGGGTGCACCTCTGTAGACAGGTTGGGCAAGAATCTGTAGTAGTGATTGACTACCACCAGGAACGACCTCACTTCAGCTTCATTATATGGGCGAGGCGCTTTCAAAACTACTTCCACTTTCTCTGGTGACTTGTGAAGACCATGACTGTCGATATCATGTCCACAGAAGGTTATCTTCTTCCTAAAATCTCACACTTTATCTTGTTTGCTCTTAACCCATGAGCCTGAAAGCGACGTAATACTTGTTCAAGGTTGGCAAGATGCTCTTCATCGTTCTTTCCAATGATGACCATATCATCGAGGATACAGCTTGTTCCAGACGTTCCTTCAAAAAATTGATCAATGATGCGCTGCCAGATAGCAAATGCAGAGGTGACGCCAAACACTAGTCGGTTGTACTGAGACAGTCCCATATGGGTGTTGATAGTGAGATATTTCTTTGAATTTTCTTCCATCTCTAATTAGTGGTATGCTTAACGGAGGTCAATCTTTGAGAATTTTAGCCCACCAGCAAGGTTTGGAAAGATGTCTGCAATGCGAGGAAGAGGGCACTGCTCTACTTGTAGTTCTAGATTTACTGTGACCTTGTAATCACCAAAAAGTCTGACGGAACCATCTTTCTTGGGGACAGGTACAATCGGTGGAGCCCATTCACTCCACTCCAGGTCCAGCAACTTTATTTGGGTTTGGTAATCCACTAATACTTTGAGTATTCCCACTGGCACAATGTTTTCCCCGGTGTAGTTTTTCAAGGACAGTCCAGTTTTGTGCAGGGAAAGGCTGTTAAATCTCTGCTGGTAAAGGTCAAACAAGATGATCGATACAGCCGAACCTGTGTCTAGTTCCATCTTGAGTGGTTACTATCAACATGCAAATCAACCTGGATACAATATCATTGTTCTGTTTCCTCACATTGTGTACCTCGAAGGTGGCTAGGATGTCTTCATAAGCATCAACATCAACGTCAACAGTATGTACCTCGGGGTTTCGGTTACTTGCTTAGGCTTGCCTTGCTGTTTGGAACGACAAACCCGCTGAATATGGCTCTGAAAATTGAAACTAGAAGGAATTCCATGGCAATAAATTGTTTTGCTTAAGGAGAAGAAATACTTTTCTGTGGAAATTGAATTTTTCTCAATGGAACCTGTTCGGGTGATCCTTTAAGATATAAATCGTCATTACCCCCAAACAGCATCCAGCTTTCAATTTGTTTATCAGTCATGCATAAATGATGAACAGTTTTAGGAGTTTGCAACAACTCAAGCCATTTGCTAGACTGTAATTTCCCCTCTGAATGTTTCTCCGATGATAGTCGAGGTCTTTTCGACAGTCTTCGATGTAAAAAAATCGTTGGTGTTGCACCATGTTTGAGCGCAGATCTGGGTTTAAAACCAAGAATTTCTGCTTGCAACGTCCTTCGAAGAAGCCAGGTTATTAAATGTTTTATGCACAGCCTAGAGTTTTTTCGGAACGACGAGATCCACTCGTGAGATCTTTGCCAGCCACTTTGATCGTGGAGCTTCATACTTCGGAAAGCAATGGTAGGATATATCAGTTGTATACCTTGAGTCGTTGTTACAATCGAACGCCACGCAGTATACCATTTTTTTAGCTCGAAAGCAATCAAAGTAGATATAGCAGCGAGGGCTAGTCAGTCGTCAAGAACAGATAGAAGAACAAGCTCAAACAACTCAGGCTTCTGCATTTATACATCCCTTCTTGCGTAAGCCAAGAATTTCACCCATTATAGAGAACTTATAAACCATAGTTCAACACGAATTTCAAAACTTTACTTCTTTTTGGACTTCTTTCGACATTGTTAACAGCGTGCGTTAACATGCCATTGCAAAATCCAGACTAAAAACTCGTTGCAAACCAATGTTTTAAAAAGTAAATAACAAAACTTGGGAAACAGAATGGAAGATGAGATGTCTTAAATTACTGGTCTGTAAGAAAAATTAATGTGGAGATCCTATACCGAAAACATCGAGGTCAAGCCAAGTATAAAAGATTCGTCGCAAATGATGTGGACATGTAACTACGTTTCAGCGATATCGTGCTACGAAAAGCCAAAATATTTTTCTCTCACACAATCCCTAGATAGAAGACCAATTTTCTGAGATGAAAGGCGCTTGAATCATTTTTGCTTCACCTCGCACAATCTTTGCCCCTGGAAAATCACAAATTCTTTCCAGCCGGAGCAAGCCGCAATCTTGAATTCAGCTCGCTCCTTTCTCGCCGTGTTTACCTTCATCCTCATAACCTATGTCACACGCTACAAAAAGAACCGCTGACATTCGTGTTCTGAGCCGACGTGCCACGGTAAAATATCGAGCCAATTGTTACCAAAAACCCTTCGTTGTCTGGATGAAAACTGTCTTTCGAGGAAAAAAAAAAATGAAGGAAATTTGTTCCATCGTACATAAATGTACGATACACAGTAAAAAAATTTACAAGAATTTGGGCTTCAGTTCTCCTTTAAGTCAGTAGAAATAAATTTCTTTTTTGGCATAATTCAACTCTCGAGAAAATCCAAACATCACAGCCTCGCTCTCGTGTTGTTGAAATTCTCGAAAAGGAACATGTTGAGCTCAAAGAAATATTTACCGGCGCTGGTTATGAAGCATAATAAAGCATTTTAGACATTGTAAGAAGGTCAAAAGAAATTTCAGAGTACAAGCCTCACTTCCGTGCTCTCTTCGTCACGTGACTAATCTTGTGACTCAGTTACTAAACATGTATTCATGATGACGACGTTGATTTATATCTTTAATGCTATTTTGGTGCTATTTGGCCCATAATAAACGAAGTTATAAGTTGTTTTATGAAGTAGCCTCGTTTCATGCATTGTCTGGAGGGGCATTTATAAAACATTCTCTAAAGAGCGTTGGAGCAGGTTGCAAAAGTGGTAACAAGATTTTTCCCGGTCATTTAAGGTCTCCTTAGCATATCTAGTGCAGTGGCTTGCTTGCGTACAAATGCTGCCAGACTTAAGAGCAAATGTTATCATCGGTCAAACAACAGCTCAAAATTCAATTTGGCCCACATTCTCTGGTTAGGTAGACCTTAATGTAAAACAAAACGCAGTATAGTTCGTGTGGCTAAATACCAATTAGTTTTCCAGAAAATCATTAAAAACCGAATCTTAAGAATTTGCCACATTTTGAGCTTTCAATTTAAGGCGAAAAAGAAGGCTTCGCGTAACGAAATAACACACTCTAAAGAAATGAAATCTACTAAATCTTGTAAAATGAAGCCAAAATATATGTGAAAAGGAATTTGAGCAATGCTCTTCTATTTACTTTGAAAATGTAATTACATTCCGTGAACCCTCCTATATTAAGATGAAAACTTACTAAAAAATAACCTTTAAGCTTAGTATGTGGTACTAAATGAAATACGTCGAAAAATTTGGATTTCGAAAGCCGGGTAATCGTTCTTTTACATGTCCAAATAATTTTTTGGGGAAATGATTTAAAAAGAAGAACTTGAATTTTAAAATTGGATAAAATGCCCTGTTTTAATCAACCTTCCAATTTATGAAGTAATACACAGAAATACAATTGTTTTAAAGATAGCATTAAAACAAAAACGGGACCGACTTAAAAACTTAAGCAACATGTTTTAAAGTCAAAGACATAGATTGTATTTCTGCTTTTGATCATAAAATTAAAGGCTCATTTGATCTTCTTTACATAGCATATTAAGACTTCCACATTTTCATGGTATAACAACATTTTCATTGCGGACGGAGCTGGGTGTTCTCAGCAAGTTGGATTTGCCGAACATGTATTTATGGTAAGCCATGTAAGAAAACCACTTAACGGCTGCGGACCAATTTTATTTCTGGAGTTGAGAGCGTAAGTTCATGTGTACGGACTTTAGTGGCTGGAAAATCATCAACCCTTTATATGATGCTGCAGCTTAACATTTCAAACCAACGATTCTTTTTAGTTTCAATATCAATTTTTACATTTTATACCTTTAGCTATATTTTACGGCGATAATTCATATAAACCATCTTTCTGTTTAGAGTCAATGAACCACTCGGAAAACAAGATCTAGCCTCTGAATCAATTTCAAGACTGTCATCACCTAGCTTTCTTTTCAAATAACTCAGCCCGTTTATGGTCACCAGCTATGAAAAGGGTAAGAACATTATTGTCTCAGTGGATTAAATGGGATCACCCGGACACGACTGGTCACGGATAGCGAATTCCTCGATAAACTAATTTTAACAAAGACTAGGTGGTTCTATGCTCATTTTCCAAAAACTATTGCTAAAGACATACATGAATGATGATAGATGGTAAACCAAATGAAAAAAAAAAAACTTGAACAAAAATTAGCTAGAATGGTTCCCGAATCTTTACAATTGGCAGGTGCAACTGGTGTTCATTGACTAGTACCAGTCCTCCTCTAACTCAAGTTTTCGTTAGGACGAGACGCTTAGACTTCTTTTCATTCTGACTGTTTTCACAAGAAGAGTATTATTAGCCACTGTGTGGACCTACAAAAGGAGAATGGTTTACTCTTTGTTCAGTGAGCGTTTCGATTTGAAGGATTTCTCGATAAAATAGGGCGTGGTTGATTGCGTAATGTAGTAAGTTAAAAATAATTTTAAAAATGAAATTGGAAGATTTCTTAAGATTTGGCCTTCAATTTCTAGTCATGGGATGGCTTGAAAATATTTTACATGAGACCACCCCCCTTTCAAATTTCTGAGAAGTCTTTAAATCTTCTTGAGGATGGACAAAATTCTCCCTTTGTGGGCGTGGCTGTGATTCCTTTTCTCTCCACAGACTTAACTAATTTATGACAATTTATTACATTTCCTATTACATTTTTTCTTTTGTTAACTTTACCTGACTTTTATCTTAAAAAGCTACCAGGAAAATTTTGACGATACACTTTACAACCTCCGTCAGTTGTCACTCTTAAAAGAGTGTCTCTAAAAATGTCTTTAGACGACACACATAGAGAACCATCAATTTAATTTTACCTCAGAAAGACATTCTCGACATCACTGACTGTTTCGTAGTTTAATCTCTACATATTCTGGTCAGCCTTACCACTACTCTTTACTAGTTTTACCGCCACACCAGGCCACAACGCCTTCAATAATTTCCATATAAAGCTGCTTGTGCTTGCTAGTTATAGATGTTACATCTAGTTCTAAGGCTGCACAGATATTCTGCAGTGTTCGTATTGAAAACTGTGCCAGCTTAGGCTGATCTACGATCTCACAGATGTTGTATGTTTCTTACAGGATGGGATGCTGAAGAGCTAACGTTACTTTCGTTATTTCGTTGGACATTTCTTCCATTGCCTTCTCTGTTATCGGCTCATTCCTTTCTAGTTTTTCTTCCTCACTGGATTGATCCACGCTATACGTTTTCTTTGCTGACAAACGAGAAGAAAATCCTGCCATTTGTTGTGGTGTGAGATAGTCGCTCTTGCCGGAGATTTTTGAGCCGTTGGGGATCGGAAAAGTCAAAACGCCTTAGTTCAATTGCATGCTCGCTGGCAACATGGAAGACTGAAAGTAATGTAGACGCGCAATGATAGCATCCTGCGTTATCACTCCGCATATAGACAGAGTTGACCTCTGGCATGATTTCCTTAACTTGATGAAAGACGTCATCGATAATGGTGAGTAAAGTGGAGCTCTCCTGATTACAGCTTTCGAAGGCATGAGCGAAAGCCAACAATTCAGTTTCATCAGTTTTGACTGTGAGATTTCATACTCCATCTCGTTTTGTTCTTCAGCGCTACAGTTAACGCTGCCAATAACTGACCTAACTTCAGGAAATAATGTTGGGAGAAGTTCGCATATATCGCATTTTGAATCGTGTTCATGATTATCGACTGTGGTGCAATCGTTATCTTGAGGATAACTAAGGGCATATGTCCGACAATGATCAGCGACCGGCGAATCTTTAGATAAGTTAACCTTAAAAACACAAATAACTATTTAGTATATACCAATAAGTGAACATAAAAGCACAATGTACCAACCTGGCATAAGAAAAACGTATACACAGGTAACTTTTGTTCTGATATCAAATGTTCATAGATTCTAAAATAACACGACACTATATAAGAAGTCCTTCTTCGCATTTCCTATCACAGTTTTTTCGGCCACAAATTCAAGCACCATAGTTAGTGCCAAGAAACTCCTTGTTTCTGTTTTTGTTCCTTGGGAGAAACGCAGTAAGAATATACCGAATACGTCTATCTTTTCAGAATTTTACTCTGTTAAATCCGTTATGGTTTATTATCCCTTTAAGGTTCACTAACGTGGAAACAAAACCAAGAAAGCTAAAGCATCCTGGAAAGAAACAGTCCTACGTTGTAGTCACGTTTTAGGTAGCGTTTCACTAGATGAAGTTTCTCTTTCTGCACCTTGGCCCATGTAAAACCTTTTCCATAATTATCTCCAAGCTTGTCAATCACTTCTTCTAGTTCGTCAAAAGCTTTGGCGCCGGCAGCTGAAACACAGTCCAAACCTTGCAGAGATTTCCTGGTGGGTGCGGAACATATTTTGAGAATCAGACATAGTTTGATGCTACTCTAGTTTGCAGATTTAATGAATGTAACCGGAGAAGTTACAATTCATAGACTCAACTTTTCGACACTCCTGTCTATCTGCCAACCAGAGTAGCATCAAACTATGTCTGATTGTCCACCTGGTTGCCGTGTGAATTTTAATATATTATATTTTGAGAACTTTCAATAGCCCGTTGCGACTCAATGGTACTAAGTCCACATCACTGTAGTAGCTTAGATACTAAAGGACAATCTAATAAAGGATAAGACTTCAAAAACATTGGGAACCTTTATTTCCATATTTGAAGACAGCTTCAGAGTTTTGTCGCCAAAAGGCAAGTCTTGAATTATGTGGGTAATAGTGATAAACGACAAAAAATGATCGAGTTTCTCTGACGCAATGCACATTCTTGTGCCTTTAACAGATTGTTTGTTCACATTCTTGTGCCTTTAACAGATTGTTTGTTCCTAACTCTGGAGTAATAAATAATGTCTATCTATGTTAAAACGATACCTAGACAAATTAAGTATCCATCTTTGCAAATCTCTGAAATTCACCTTATCTGTCATGATAGACAAAATCTGCCTTCGAGAGCTCCATTGGTGTGCGTTGTTATTACATTCGGCCAAACATTCCATCAGAGAGGAGTCCATAGCACTTGCCTCAAGGTCTGATTTAACTAGTGAAGAAAAAATTGTTTCAGTTTCCCCAGGAACAACTTCATCCAAGAATGCATTAACAACCTGTCCAACCTTTCTTGTATAAAGCCTTTTTGTCCGCTTGGAAGCTTATGCCCATGGTGTTTCTAGGGAATGGCGAATTGGACTTATATCTCTTGAGATCAGGAATTTTTTCAACTTCTCCCTTGAAGTTACAGTTTTCTTCGGCAAAAGATGCCTCAAAGAGATTACTTTCTAATATTGGACTTATATTGGGATAAAAGAGATTTCATCTTCCTCTTCTTCTTCTTCCAACTCCTCCCCCTCATCCTTCTCTTTCTAAACCACAAAAACAAATGAAAGAGAAGAGAATAAAAGGGAAAAGTTAAAGCAAAAAAAAGCAAAGGAAAAGAGGGGGGGCGGTGGGGGAGAGCTTTCAAATAGAAGTCAATCTATGAAAATTTATTGAACAGGAGTAAACTACAGAAACCAATCATTCGTCCCAGTCCCCTCACGGTTATCTTTCCTTTTGAGTTATACTTTCAGAGAGAGTATAGATTAAAACATGTCAAAATCCCATATAAATATAAAACTGTCTTTTGCATTATGGAAGCCGACAGCAGAGCTTTTTTCGCAGTACTAGTTTCCTGTTACTAGCCCCAACAAGAATCCGCGGGAATCATCAAAAATCAACGTAAAACAATTCAACATCACAGAGTACCGACTCATGGGACTCTCTCCAAATTTCTCTACTTTTTCAAGAATTCGTTACTCTGAGCAAGTACCAGAGGTTGTACATGTACAACACTTTTCATAGAACTCAGAAAGCTGTGAACACTTTTAATTTGATTCTGTAGGTCAGTTATGTACTGGCCTATCAAAATATAATTCAGGACACACAAACAAACATCAAAATTTTGTGGTTTTGTTTCCCACACCATAAAATTGGCTTCTGTTGTAACATACTGACATGCACAGTTTTCTCAGTTTCACAATAATGGTTACTATGACTTACACATTGTGAGCCATCAGTACCCTGACGACTTCAACTGGGTGATAGGAATTCTCCATTACAGCCTTTTCAAAGGAGATTTATCACTTTAAGAGGACGATCTGAGTACAAAGAACTACATGACTGCACCTACCATAGTTTATCGGCTATAAGCCGAGCTATTTTAACTCAAGTTTAACCTAATTTGAATTAAAATCTGACTCGTAGGGGTTTCGGCTTATAGCTGAGACTTTATTAACCTTAAAAAAATTGTGGACTTAATAAAACTAAGATAAATACGCGTATATTCGCATACAAGCCGAGCAAAACACAAAAACAAAAAAGCAGAAGTCATTGGTCATTACCTTTTAATATGTGGTGGCTCCTAAAGAAGCCGTTTTTTTTTGTTGTGAACTACACGTTCGAGGCTTATGGCCCATCTTCGCTTCCCGCATCAAATTCTTCATTCATCTCATCTTCTTCGGCGTGAATGTCTGGCTCCTCTTTATAGATGGCGTCATCCTTAGTGCCGTCAAACGCGTTGGAGTTGCCGCAAGTCAGAAATGATTTTCTCAGAAAGGTTACAACGGATGGAAAAGGAAATATTTATGAGACAAATTGATTCCTCTTATCCAGGAAACGTTTAGGTGATGAAATTTCTCCCTGAGTTCGGGGTAAATTGAAGCAGAAAGTCTGGTCTATGTGAAATGAACGAATTCTCAGTAATGTTTATGCAAAACGGAATAGCGGGATATGACCATAACCACTACGCAAAAGAAATTAAGAAGATTGCATTAAACGGTGATATTTATCTCCCTTTAAAACCCCAACCCTGAATTTGTTACAAGCTGCATCAGTTACTAACATTATTGCATGTCTAGCAAAACGGATATTTTTAAGCTTAATTCAAAGTCACGATCTAAGAGCTCTGATTTGAAATATTTGATGCATATTTTTAAAGAAAATTACTCGCAATGGCACAGATAAATCCTCAAATGAAACAGCTTACCTGTTACTTGGCGTAAGCCTGCTTACGTTGAAATAGTTGGAGCTTTATTCGAAAACGAAAGTTTTCCGTTTTGGCCTTTGGATCTTCCTAGAAAAGTGATCACGCCACCAGTGCATGATAGTGGCATTAAAATCTGCTATTTTTAACTATTGTAATATGTCCTCAGGTATTTCGGGGAGTCAATTACCTTTCGGGGAAACAACCTTTGATAAAGCAGTACTGCGCATGCATGGAATAAGAAGGTGGTCATTGTTTCAAAGGACAACACTTTTGAATTCATTTTACCGCAAGAAACTCCCGAAGCGTGTTGTTTGATTCGCTGCTGTATAGACGAGTAAATTGAGGTATGTTGAGGCTCACCTATGTGGCTTGCTTGTTAAACCTTAATGCTTCCGCAAAGTGTGTTAGAGTAAAAAGTAATACAAAGGAGTTACCCAAGGTTTAATTAGGTCAAAATTGCTTTAAAATCTGACTCGACTCGCAAAGAATACCTTTCTCTAACTGTGACAAGTGCAAATGAGTGGCGAAGTGAAAATCAATATGAGGTACATAAACACTACAACGGCGTTTGCAAGTACACCTCTCCTGCAATCATTTAGATTTATACTGTTTTCTTTGGTTAGTAAATTACAGATGTAAAATGCGAGCACAGACCACTTTCAGGAGGATATAAATCTCATGAAAAACATCACAGATAGGATATGAACTTCATTCGTTTGTCTCACGATGGAGTCACTTTTGATGTTGATCGCAACGTCTAGTCTTCATCAGGCGACGAGGTCGATCGTTTACGTGTCGCTACTTGCAACACGTTCGTTCGTTGCTATTGGTGCATTTCGATCCTCACTATTATTCCGGTTGTTAGATGGTGTTCCCGCATAGGTCCTCTTTGATCGGGTGTTAGGTTGTTTGATTGTGGGTATCCAAGCTTCGGAATTTCGATTCCACTATTCCTATTGATGTTGTTGGGATGAAGTCTTAAATGGTAGCCTCTTTGACCGTAACTGTGTACCAGTGGGGGTCACTATCAATAAACTTAACCTTGCTCCAACATCACAGATGACTCGAAGGAACTGAAATTATTTACTTCTCTGTATCGTTCTTCGAATTCTTAACAAAAACTTTTCTTCAAGACAGATGTAAGTCTCAGATGTACTTCAAAAAGAACGCTTTAAATGGATCGATCGCAAACGGAAATTTCAAATCTGGGACAAAATGAAATTGTATTCGGTTACCCATTATCCTCTAGAGAAATCCAGTAGATTCAAAATTCCCAAAATCTGAAAAACTTTCGAGAAACCAAAACATTAGAGATGTTTATACATTGATCAGGCCGACTCACTTATGTAGTAGTAGTAGCTGTTGTTGTCAGAGCGACGACTGTTTTGAAAGTTATACCCAGAGAGTTACCGCGGAAGATTGCTCATTTCAAGGAAATTGGGAGACAGTAGTGAGATTGTGTCAGTGGTGAGCTAGGATATAGACTGTGGTGGGCTAAATTAATTTTATTAACGACAAGTATTGTACTGCTCTTAGGAGTCGCTCCTTGCTAAGATTGTTACTCGTTGTTTAACAAATGTTGGTTTTGTAGCGTGATGTTAACTCGGTTCTTGTCGCAGGAACTTACTATACCATAGATGTTATCAAGTAATTGTCACTTTCAAACAAGACCTTACTTATTTAATCTGCCGTGGTTGACAAGTCGTCAGCTGCTATTTCCGTTAGGAAATAGTCATTATCGCTAGGCTTGGCTTGCATGTTCCTTGATTAGATATATTCACGAGGGCAGGCTTGGCTTGCGTGTTCTTTGATTAGATATATTTACGAGGTTTTACCCGGTTAGTTCAGTTCAAGTATAGATTATACTGCGTCAACTTCTACTCGGCATTGGGCCCTAGTTTCTCTCTACATTGTTACTCATCTATTTTATCGAGTCAAATTCAGGGTTTGCAAACCAAATAAGTAATCGATTCCTTGTTCTCAGGCTTAGTTCTCTGGCTTTTTCTATTGTTATTCGTTTCAGTTAAGTCCCACTTTATCACCTATCAAATGGCCTATATGGTTACTAAATCGTTTAGTTAGTTTTTCTTTGTATGCTCGGAATCGCGCTTGATTAGCTCCATATCTCCAATATAAGTTTTTTAACTTGAAGGTATCGTCCAAGTTAAAGACCAGCTTATGAATGGTTGTCCAGCCTTCGTTATGATCAGTATGATCGTATGATTCTTATTAAAACTTCATGAAGCAAAAACAGACAAACCATTGTAATTTCTAAACCGTGTCCGTGGGAACAGTCGAAGCTCATTGGCTGACCCGCCGAAAAGAGCTCGCGCATGACAATGCTAATAAACGTTCCACTGCCACAATGAGTGTTTATTTCCGCACGTGCCCATGCATTGTCATGGCATGATTCGAACTCGATGGGGTTCACTTATAACGTGACCCGACCGAAAGCAAAACAAAAGGCGCTGAAATTTTCCCACGATCAGTCCTGGTGCGAATGTTTATTCATGAATATCCGGAACAATTGTTGCTTAAAAACAAGTCTAAACACAAACGCGAAGAATTTAAACAACGCTCTGTAAAGTGTACAGTACAATCTCTGTTTAGAAGGCGAGATTGTTGAAAACTCACGCTGATCAGAAAGGGTAACTTAAGAGAGACAAATTCAAGGCATCTACAGTGCACGAAGCTATTAAAATGCCCGACTTGAGTTAATGAGAGAATGGCAACCGTCAAAGAGGAATTGAATAGATCAGTCAACCTCTGGAATAATCTGCCGATTATATTTGACACCTCCATGTTACGGTCGTTATTGCAATGTAAGCGATAGTTCCTTCATTTATATTATTTTATCTTCGATACGTTAGTTACGTTAGGGAAGGTACGTTTTTTTCTTGGGGGGAGGGCTGGGGCCTCAGAGGGGAGGGTCATCAGCTTTTTTTCAGCTATTCAAGGGGAGGGTCACACCTTTTCCAGAATTTTTAATGGGGATTTTTGTGATGTTATTTTCCATTTTTCTTTAACAGACTTAGTTTTTTCTTTTCAACTTGTTTCTTTTAATTCGGTGCAGGTACTAGTTTTACAAGGTTACTGGGTGTCTACATGTATATTATTCCATGGCACATAATTTTCTCGGAGTACTCGTGTCCTTTTCCGTCCGTATCGTGACGTACTTGACTCGAGTATGGTTTCTTGTTCCAGCTGTTGTCTATCCGCTGCCTGATCTCCTGAGTCATTAAGCTCTGAAGAGTTACTAGAAGATCCAACAATGCCCTCTACCCTGTCGCTGTCACTGTCACTGTCAGACTCTGGATTTGAGTCTGAGGCTAGCGGAATGTTTGTCTGTTTTTTCCTGCACAATTGAAGTCAAAATCTTACTGCAAATATGAGCCTTCACAACCCTCACTTTCTCATCTTTCTTCCCTTTAAATAGAATATTGTGATGATTAATATACAGTTCAAGTTCACCTACTCTTAGGGTTGACAATTGGTTTTTGTGATAAAGATCTTGCCAGTCAATGTCATTGTATTCCTGTTGCTTTCTTGCTGTACGCTTTCTGTCATTCTCTGTTCTCCGCTTATCTTTTCTTAGTTCAATGTCAGTCAGATGATCAATATAGTCTGCAATTAGCTTTTCTGAAACAATATATTTTTCAGAAAAATCTTTGATCGCATTTTTATCCCCGGCTTTGAGCGTACCCTCTTGAAACATCTGTTTTATTTGAGCTCTAGGCTTATAATCATCAGGTTTGCGGCCAGTCGTTGGTGTTTTCGTACCTGGTAGGCAGTGAAAGTCAGGACGTTTGCTGTAATCGGGATAGGGTCGTGGAGTAGGTGTAGCGGAAGTAGGACTTAGAAAATCAGTTGCTCGACAGTATTCGCATAGCTCGCCATTTTTCTCTTGACAAGACATTTTTCTGTACTCCATGAACAGTTCCCCTTTCTCGCAGTGCTCCTCTTCAAATGAAGCTAGTTTAGCAAAATATCCATGACCTGGAACAGTGTTTTTCTTATTGTTCGGAGCATCGTGATACTGCTTCATAAAATCGCGGTTATAGAAAACCATTTCCTCTGGCTTATCCACCATCATTGCCGACATGTATCCCCGTGGTGCCGGAGCATCATCAACACAACGAACTACTTCTTCTGCTACAGCCCAAGCATTTTTTTCCATGTTTGCTTTCCTCTGGGTTTCAAGCTCTGAATTTGTAAGAGAACTAATCTCATCCACAGACAAACCGTGAAGCGGCTTGTAGATCTGCCACTTGAGGCTTCCTCCATCACATAGAGCGTCTCCTATGCAAGCATTGAGCCTTTCCGCTTCGTTTTGGCCCGAATCCTCTCTTGCTCGGTGGATTCGAAGCACTTTGTCGCTGTTATGGATTCTTGCCTTTTCGAGTAAACGCCACCTACATTCGGCACTTGATACGCCAACTCCAGGACCGGCGTCAGTGAGTTCCAGTATCCAGGGATACACAGGCGGCAGTTGAAAAGAAGCAATGTGCCTCAAAATGTCATGACATTGCATTACCACAGGTTTAAGTGTATTTTCAAATTCTTTGCTTTTGACTTTCCACATTTCAGATTTGGCTTTCTCAATGTTCTCTAAGAGAGCGTTTGCCTTCTCATAAACACTGACTCCCAAATCTCTGTCATTGTCTTCCATTTCTCCGCCCCAATTTTCTTTTGCAGATGTAAACCTGCTGCTTCAAAGAACGCAAACGCAGCCCTTCATACCTTCTAAAACTACAATCGCTTGCTTCAGTTACTGACTGCATGTCAGCGTCTGTGGTAGTGTTTCTTGTTTCAGCGCGCACATATTCAATATCGAGATTTATTCATAATCAAACATTTTGCGTTTACAAGCAAAATGTCGAAAAATGTTCTGAGGTTTCTATGGTATGGAGCATACCATGTGGTAGTGAGAGGAGGGTCACACTTTTGTCAGTCACCTAAAAGTGGGGGGGCGGGGAGGGTCAGGAGTTTTTTAATCAAAACATGAGGGAGGGCCAACACTTTCTTTTGGAAAAAATACCAAAATTCCCCCGCCCCCCCCCCCCCCCCCAAGAAAAAACGTACCTTCCCTTACAACTTTGCACTCCTCGTGTCGCAACTTTGCACTCGTGTTACATAAGAATGCACTCGTTTTCAGCCGATCCGAAGCGCGTAGTTTTTTCATGAACATTATTATCATAGAAATTTCCCACTCGTCCATTTTCTCACCAAACTTAACATGTTCCTTTGCAGAGAAGTTGAAAGTCCACCTTCTTTTAAAACCACAATGTCTGAACAACGTGCAGTTCCCCTTTGTCTTCCGAACAACTATAAATGGGACGCACAGACAGGGGAGTACAGCAAGAGCGCTGGCCCCAGAGAAAGCCTTTGTGTTATTGACGCAGCCATAGAGAGGCTTAAGAGCATCAAAGGTAGAGTTTATCATTCAATAGAATACTGTATGAATTTATCACTGAATGTTTCAACGTATTTTGAGAAGATGATTGACACATCGAGGATGACTACTTAACAACAAGAGAAAAACAAAGAAAAAGAAAATGAAACGAACCAGACCAAGACGCTTTAGATATTTCCGATTTAAATTAGTCTCAGTATTCTCCATACTGTTCCTGAGACATTTCCTAAGGTGTTGACAAGGAGAATTTGTTTAAACATCAAGAGCTTCTTTAGTTGGTGATCATTTCCTTTATTCTCGTGACCTTGATGTGTAATTCGGGGATGATATTGTAAGGAGAAATTAGATGCAGGTCATAGCATTCTCTTATCGTTGTCTCTCGTTAATAAACTTGGGTCAGGGTCAATATTACCTGCTCTTTTACATCTTCAGGTCCAGTATGCGTGGTTTCAATCGCTGGTCCTTATCGCGGAGGAAAATCGTACATCTTGAGTAAATTATTCGATCAGGGAGAAGTGTTTCGTCTTGGACATTCTATGGATCCGGAAACCGTGGGAATCTGGATGTGGATTGTTCCAGATAAGTTTAAGGTATTTTAGAACAACAGATTCGGTGACAAAAAATATTCAAACTCTCTAACTACCGATTCAATTGGAAAAATAGATAAAAGAGCAAGGCAGGATTTACAGGAAATTTTTAGCTTGAAAATGGAGAAAGTCAGGACACAAACCTGCACAGCCAGCAAATGTGGACCTGGGTTTTAGATATACACCACTACCAGCAAAACTTACAATAATTTTTCTTTCAAGCCTTTTAAATTTGGCTGTTTGAATAAATAGCATTCGTTTGTTGCGGTGAACTAGGTCAGACAGTCCGTTCTTTCGTCACTATTTTGTTTGATCTACTACAATTTTTTCCCAACTTTTTCCATCCTAAAATTAACAATTTAGTTCAATTCTTTTTGATGTGATATAATTATGATTTCATCCACTTTCTGATATTGAAGTTAATAAACGACAATATTCTTTCATGACTGGAAGCTAAAGGAAAAAAATTCCCGGAAATGTTAATTCCATTTCCGGTATCGTTCTATTTTTCTTTTTCTTTTTCTTTTCTGAAAAGGACTCCAATGGACAGGAGTTCACAGTGGTTTTGCTTGACTCTGAAGGCACAGACGCTGCGTCGAGTGATGGATCAAACGATCACTGTATTTTTACACTGATAGTCCTTCTGGCTTCGGTACTGATATACAACTCTCCGGTTGTACCGAAAAGAACTGATGTTAACCAACTAGAGTATCCTTAATCAGAGGTTTTGCTCTGTAAGCCTTTAAATAGATGTTTATCTGGTGTAATGACCTCCTTTAATTCTCAGTTCAGCTTCAGTATTACCGATGATTAGATACAGGCATTGAGTGGTTGAGTTTCTATGGAAAATAAAATATCGATTACTTCGGTAGGTCAAAGAAGTGAAACACTTTTAAAAGTTTTTTATTTGAAAGACGAAATATTTTAAGCTCAGTCGTCGAATAAGGAGCATTTGGGAAAAGACATCGAAATGGGGGAAGTTATTTTTTCTCAAGGTGGACGAATATTTTTTTCTTTTGCCATGTTGATGCCAACACGGATAACTTCTTCTAAATTGAATTTCTTTTTCTAGAGGGCACGGTAACGAATCCTGCAATCTGATTGGTTCTTTACACGGTCCGTATTTCCCTATCTCTGCCTAAGGGCAACGGTAACGCTTTGGTGAGTCGCCGAGTACATCCCTACTTCCGTTGCCATATTCCATAAAAATGTTTCGTTTTTCCGGCTGGGCAATATTTTTTTAACAAAGACGTCGGTCACTGCCTCAAGCCGATAAATAACTTATTAATCTTTTCCTCTCTCTCTCTCTTAAATCACTTTGATGGACAGAAAAATATTGGTTTCAGAATGAATTTGTATAAGCAATAGTGTCATACGTTGGTTGACAAGCGACCTAAAAACCGTCTGCAATTAATTTCAATCGTTCACAAAAAGTCCTAGAAAGTTAAAGCGTGAGGTATTTGGTTACTGTTTAACTAATCGATGGAACTTTCATTCATATCTGAATTTTCTCAAACAATTTGTTCGTAGTGAAAGGGCGAGCTAAGTTTTGATTACAGTTCTACAACAAATATACGCTCTCAGTCAGTCTTTCCAAGTCCGTTCGATTTGGACATTTGTACCGTAAATTGCACAACAGAAACTGAAGGAATTCAATAAAAAAAAGCCGCATTAAATCCCCCTGTGTCTCGTTGGAGTGTATCATTCGAATTCAGTTTTTGTGGAGTAAAGACCAGATTTACAAACGTCATTGCAGCCAACAAACAAGCAAACTCTCACAACTTCAAAATAAAAAAAATTGAATTTACTTACAATTACTTTTCTCGCCGTTTACTTAATGAACAGAGGTAAATCTTCGTACATGAATTAATCGTCGATGAGAGTGAATGATACTTTCCGTTAGATCATTTACTGTTTTTGAAGAAAACATTGTCGGGACAGTCCTTGCCAAACTAATTTCGTTGTTTTTCAAAAGTGTACTTGCGCTTTTTTTTTTCTTGCGTGCTCTCTAATTGACAGGTGTTGGATTGTGACAGATACTTGTTTTTTTTTGGAAGCCTTTTAAATCACTTTTATCATTACGCAAATGAAAAATTAACTACCATTTACTCGCTCAAAAATTGTTTAGTTTATGGAAGATCTTGCCGAATTTACAGCCCTAAATCATTCGGGTTATTTCGGGAAGAATTTCGTTGAACTTAAAAAAAATATATGTTATTTACCGGCTAAGGATCGGTCCGTATGGTGAAAAACTGTGACCCTGATCACAGTTTTACAGACCTCCTAGCCGGCAAATAACATATATTTATTCAATCTTCCACAACTTTTGAAGGCCCACTTTTCATACAGAACTCACTATTAAAAGTGTTTTCTTTGCATAATTTAAATGGCAATTCTAAGTCAATTCTACATTAAATTGATTACGAAAAGATCTTTTAACCTCCTGCAACAATGTCTCGGAAGACAGAACTCAAGCATCTAACCAACATTTAAAATGTTGGTTAGATGATTGATTCTATCAATCAATTTTCTTTGGAATCCTTAACATTTATCACAGCTTTATCGCGAAACTTTCTGAGCGAGTTCAACTTTATGCACAAACGAGTGATCCACCTAGTGGAGAAGGTCTGCGGGCTGATGCAAATCGATTTCATAAAACATTTCCCTTCTTCATCTGGCTGCTGCGAGATGCTAGGCTACATCTTCCAGGGGACTGTCACAGTATCAAGGATTTCTTTCTGAAAAGGGTGGGTTTATAAAGTTTGTTTTCAAGGATAACTTTATGCCAATTTGTTCGAAGGTAACTGATTAATAAGTGTTTCCTCATTGAGGCATGAATTCAACTTTTACTGTATTAATACTTGTACTGGATTAAGCCAAAGAGGAAAACTAAGGATCGTTTGCATGAGTTTCACTGTGTCAACAGATCGAACAATGGAGAGACGAAGGAAAAGCAAACAATCACGAGCTACAGTGCTCATTACAAAGAATTGCTTGTCAATTTTGAAGTATAGCTGTCTTCTTTCAATACCGCAGCAATTCAGTATGACATTGGTTTTGTTGCATTTAGATTTTCAATTCCGATCTAACTTCAAAATGCGACCAATCAAATCAAGTGGCAAAGAGTATCTTGAACTTCTTCGCTGGGTTTGACGCTTTCAAGGTTCCTCCGCCTCCATCAGACGAACAACTGACAGCGAAACCTAACAGAGACGAGGTGCAGCAAGACCTCCAAGGGCCGTTTTTCCAAGGAGTTCAGGAGTTCAAGGCACTGCTTAGGTCTAAGCTATCAGCTAAGCGCAGTTTTAACGATGGAGAATACGTAACTGGTGAAGGTAGGTGGATACCTCAGCCCTTTCCCCCTTATCCTTCCTCCCTCCTCCCCCCCCCTCCTTTCTTACGCTCTGAATTTACTAAATTCAGGTATACTAGATTAAAACTTTTTAATGAGCATATGGCATCAATGGAATGAAAGAAGTGCTCTAAAATTACCTCTAGTGTCCAGCTAAAAATCCACAACAAATTAAAATCAGATCCTTACTTCATAACTTATTTTCAACGAAAAGGCCTTGGGAACTGAATTGAGATCACTTCGTTCAGAGTCGTTCATGTCAAGTATGAAAACCTTTCTCCCGTTTATTTTGTAACTTTGCCTTATATGGAAAATAGTCATCAGAAAAATAAATCATAGATGCACACAGCTTTTTTATTGCCTGATGTCCAGAGTTTCTAATTATCAAAAGTGGCTCTGAGTAAGAGTACGGCTCAGAAATTTTCGTTTTTCATAAATCCCAAAAATATAAGATTCTAAGATTTCATAACTTTTTAGAACTTGTGCAAAAGAGACGAAGTTTGAGATGGAAAACCTGCCTTTGTGAACAGTAAATCATTTTTCCCTTTTATGTTAACTACGCAAGAAATTGAACGTAAACTTTTACTAAAATTAATTATATTTTTCTTTTTAAAATCATAGCTCTTGCAGCTCTCGTTAATATTTACGTTTCCGCCTTGAACACTCGTGGCACAGTACCCAATGTGCAGAGTGCGTGGGAGACCTTTGTGCACACCAAGTGCGCTGGGGCAAAACTTGCCGCCTTAAAGGCGTATAAAAGTGTAATGGCGTCAGAGCTGGCTGGCTTACTGCCCTGTGACAGCGATTACATTCGCCGGGTTCAGGAAAGAGCTATTGGAGAAAGCATGAGGTTTTTTAAGGAAGAAACTGTTGGAGTTTCCGTCTCGAGTAGCGTGAAGTATTTGGATGAGCTCGTGGTAAGACTGCAACATTACAGTGTTATTATGAATGTGCTGATTAAAACAATTTTTCCTAGATAATGATCGAGCAAGCTTTTGAAGGTTAAAGGATATTCATCCGTGGGTAGTTTATGAATTCAATGGCGTTTTGAGTTCACGAGTAGCAAATCTAGTCGAGATATAGAAAGGTTTTCCAAGCATTTTTCAGAAGCTAGTATTGACTCAGAGGGTCATCAGCGCAGCTCCTGTTAGGAATACTCGGTATTTTTGTTTCCTGAGCACACATATGTTTCAGACTAAACCACTACCTTCCAATGAAATAAGCAATGTTATTTCTTTTTAGGGGAATATGAACGAATCGTTGAAACGATGGCAGGATGAGAACAATCGACTGACGAAAGAAAAATGCTCTAAACTGCTGCGGGAATTGAAAAAAGAACACTTGGACCCCATTCTGAGGGAGCTACGCGGTAAGGAAGGAGTATCAATGAGCTTTGATCGGATCGTTGGAGACTACGCAGCAATTGAAAAGAGATTCCAACGTGAAGCGAAGGGAGCCAAGGACGTCTGCGCTCAAGAGTTTTACGATTTTCATCCGGTAGGTGTATATGGGATTTCCTTTGATCAGTTGAAAACGTTCAAATCAGTCCAACGCAATCGAGCAAGATATAAGCAAAGTAGAGGGCAAACCATCGGCCAAACGAATAATTGGATTTAAGCTATGGTGCATAACACCCACTTCCCCCCCCCCCCCCCCCCCAATGGTAGAGAATAACAAATGATGTAAAAAACTAAGCCGAGCCGGCCAGTTAGAGCTGTCCATCAATCTTATTTGGGCATTGTAGGAAATGCAGGAGGAGATGAAGCACCACATGGCGTATCTACAACAGCTGAAAGACTTCGACGAGTCTTTGGCTTTCGAAAGACAAGAAAAGGCTCGTCAGGAGCAGGAGAGACAACGAATAGAGGTGACACATTTTATAATTAGTGGGAGAGATACTATTACCCCCCGCACATACCTACGTGTTACATCATTATGTCTTTCATCTCAATCAGCCTCCCTAAATTTGTTGTATTACGTTTGTATCAAAAGATTTTGAGGGTAAAAATTTGTCGAGCGCGGAGTTACAGTCAAGCAGCTGAGTGACAATTGTACAAACTTGCCTAAAGCGCTAGCTCTAGCGCTCGTCTCTTTCTTGCAGTATGTACATACCTCACTTTTGGGTGCTTAATGCGTTCACACTAAATAAACAAATAAATTTTGTGTGTAAAGCTGTAAAGCACAATTTATCGTCTGAAATTTTTCCTTGCTTAGCAGGTTATGTTTATTATGTAAAAATTAGTAATAATGATTACGATTAAAACCATAACATACTATATAATAATAATAATAATAATAATAGTGATAATAATAACGTTAATAGTAATGGTAAAAACAGGGTTCATGTGATATACTACAAATTTCAATGCATTAGCAGCAAAAGTTGGTTCTCGCAATTGCCATATTGAAATACAGATTACAACCTATATCAATAATGCCTAACGATTTATGATTGAACTCTAGGAAGTAAATGCTCGGTTGGAAGAGGAGCGGCGTGCGAAAGAAAAAGAGGTGGGTTTCCTCGTATCTGTTTTTAATTTTTTCGTTTGTTTATTGATTTATTGGGTGGTTTTTTTTGTTGCTGTTGTTTTTGTTGCCTTTGTTTTGTTTCTCTACTTGTCTGTTATTACGTGGGTGTTACTTGAAGGTAACATGCGAAGTGTTAGCATATGGGTTACTTCCGATACACTACTAATATACTACCTGTGTCCCTATTCCACCGCCCACCTCAGTCTGATTATTGCCATTTATTCCTGTGCATCAGTTAAATTGAAGGAGTGGGTAGATATAAGCTTAAAATGTTTCATATATCAATTAGTGAATTTCGTGTTGTGTTCCAGATGGGAATTCTAAAAGCTAAGCAAGAGGAAGACAGGAAACGCTTGGAAGTGCAATTTAAAGCGGACATGGAAGCCCAAAGAGAGCAAATGAACAACATGATGACAGCAAACATGAATGTGCTTCAAAAGGATCGAGAGGCAATTCTCCAGCAGAATCAAACCTCTAAGGAGATGATGGCGCGGACGCAGCTGTTAATGGATGAAAGAAATGTCCAAATTGTCGAGCTTCAAAAGCAAATTATTGCTCTTCTTAAAGGGCCACCTTCTCCCCCACTAGAGAAAGGAATTTGTGTTATTTCGTAAAAGCACGGTCAGTTTAACTTTCACATAACACCTGAATCCGAAGATTTAAAGTTTCTTTTGTTCAAAAGGTGCTGCTGATGGTGAAATAAGCAACTATAACCATGTAACGGGCTATAAAAATCCTGTAAGTTGCAGTGGACTGCCGGTGATATAAACGACTACTGTCGAAGCCCATCATATAATCTCTATTTCTTAAAAGTTACTAACCGTTCTTTCAGAAGCTTACTCACCTCTAGAAAGCTGTGGAATATATCTCTGTTATAACTGAATCGATTACAATAAACAGGTGTTAAACAAAAAAAGTCTGCATGGTTTTATAATGAAGATCTTAAATCTTATGGTATTATTACTTTAGAGATATCCTTTGTGCGATCAAAAAAGGGAGATGTGTTGGCTTGTGTAGCATATGTTATAGAGACAGCTGAACATTCCACAAGAAGACAGCTGAACATTCCACCTACAGAAATCCAGCAATAGTCACCGAACAAATTAAATATGAAACTACTTGCACGTGATTCTCGTTAGGAGACAACTGTATCATGTTAGTAGAGGGCCTATTGCATACTAAGAACACAATAAGGAGGCGCATCGAGATGACTTTTTAAGCAAGCTAAGGCTAACAGGTATGAAATGTCTATGCCAGTTCCTGGGAAAACCTCAACATTGTATTCGAGAATATAGCCTGAAAATGAACGGATTTAATTCATTAAGGAAAAGACGATGATTACTATTGGACTAAGATGACTTGAATGCGAGGGAAGATGTGCAAGCTATTGTACAACTGTAAGAAAACACCTTTTGAGTGGATAAAAATTAATATATTTGTATTAATGAAAAGGCAAAGAAACATCTTAACAAGAGAGTTATGGCTTAACTATAGCAATGATCCTCTCTAAGAGAAGAAAACAGTACGATCCTATTTTTCTCACGGTATATATAAGGCAACACAGAAGAACTCTATTATCTCATTGATGCTTCAGTAAGAAATCGCTCCAAAGCTGTAACTGCCGGCTCCAATGGTTTATCGTTGTAGTGCATGGAATCACGGGTGCCTTCAGGCCAAGCAGTGGTCATCGGGTAAATATCAAGAACAGGGATTCCAGCCTTACACATAGCATCTGTAGCATAAGTATGGAACAGCTGATTCCTCTAAATCGTAGACAAAGTAGGCAAGCAAGGAAGAGATGAGACAAATTAGGCAAAATACTATAGACAAATTTGAAACATTCATAGTTTTTGTACGTAACAGACATTGTCGCAATCCTTAACCCCATGACTTTTCAGTTGTTATGGCAAAGTTTTCGATGACAAGTGTCAGTTAGCATTCTATCACAAAGTCCTCTGAAAGACGAAGTTGAAACAGATGAAAAAAAAATTGGGGTGCGCATGCCAACCATCCATCGTTTTACATGCCAAACATTCACTGACGCAATCGTCTTGAATGTGTATCCCCAGTTTAGAGACCGGTCATCGTAGACCACCTGGGGTGAGGTGGGGGGAGGAGTTCGGAAGATTTTGGTCACGGTGTCACGGTAAAATTTACCAGATACCCCCTAGACAGATTCTATAATATTCTTATGATTCCCCTCTCATTGTCACTTAATTGGCAATCAATTTTCTATGGTACCCCCCTCCCTTTTATACTACGCTGACGACTACTGATCCCCATCAAGTCCCCCCCCCCCTGGATAAATGAAGATTGCGAAGACTGGTCTCCGTACGTTACAAAGTTTTCTGATGAGTGTTTCTTAGTACATTTGCTTGACCCGTGCGCTTACAAATACGTCCTTTCACCGGTCAGCAAAAGACTTGATTACGTTTGCGATGAAGGCATTTAATATTTCAACTTGTATTATTACCTGATTGGTATAGAATCTCCATTCGGTATAGTTCACTTGCGAGAAAAAGTCTTCAAAACCCTTCGCCTCTACAGCTGCGTTGCTTCGCCAAATGAAAAGTGCCCGGCTTTTCAACGCACCTTCATTCTCAGTATCAGTGTCCCTCCTCAGTATCTTGATAATGCTATCAATCAGCATTTGGTAAGCTGTAAAGTTCAACGGTAGTGAGTAATGTATACCGACGTTAAAAAAGAAAACGCTTTGATTCCCTCTCATGTCATGGCTGTCCAAGACTTTTTGGATCTCCTCATGAACAATAGTCTGGTTGAAATCTTTATCATCGCTTCCTTTCCAGGAGACCTGCAAAGATACACAACGAGCGCTCGCGTCTTCCTTTTTAATGCTTCATAAAACCACGAGAGAAAACCTTAAAAGAATATGTGAACAAAAATCTGTCATGGAAACGTTAAAAAAGTCTTACCAACAGAGAGATTAGCTGACAAAAATGCTATGACAAAACTTAATAATTTGTTTCTCATTTAAAACTACTTTGGCTAATCAAAATCATTACAAAATTTTCGAACATGATTGGTTATCACCAGCCCGATTTGAGCACTAGTAGGAAAAGTATAAGCGTCAAGCTTATAATTGGACTGTGTAATTCGACAGTCATGCATATATCATGCATGTGTTATTGGAGAGTACACGTTGTTCGCGTACGCTGTTGTCAAGAATATCGCCGAGTTAACAGTTGTTTTTTATGAAAAGTGTAACCGATGGCTAGTTCGTGTCTCAAGTTTTGTCATAGTTTGGACTAAAAGGGAACAAAATTTCGTGTCGTCCAGTTCTACCTGTAATTATACTCGTAAGAAACAAGTCGACTCCCGCTTTGCGGTCGTCAGATTTCGTGAATCATTCATAAGATCTCAGACCAAGTTGGATCCCACTCAGCCATTACCGTCACTAATTTCAAATTTGCAAAACTAATGTTCCCCAGGTAGATACTGTTTCATTAAAAAAACAAACAAAGTAAACGAAAAACTCGAGTTTAAAACAAGTTTAAATGTATTATTAACTACAAGTTGGTAATAAACAACAAAAGAAACTAGTAATACGCCCAATTAGAGTGATGTTTTTGCTATAATCTTCTAAATGAAAAGAGTGTTTCGGTGTCAATTTTATTTTTATTTAGTTCGTCCAACTTTTTCGAGGTTCTGTGTCAAGAGGATTGATCCCAAATTCAAATCAACAAACGAAAGACTTTTGAGAAGCAAATTATAAATAAGCAAAAGTTTCTTTCCACTCACATCATAAGTCCACATGTACTTCTTCCCGCAGGTATGAAACATTTTCTTACAAAGCTGGCTTCTCATTGCAAGAGAATGGAAATGCACGTTTGTGGAATCCCCATAAAACATTAGATCATCTAATTTTCTCTTAAGACGTTTTTCCGCATATTGTGCCTTTTGCATCTCTGATAAAAAAAAGAAGAAATAAACACATATGGGCCGCTTATTTACACGAAGTCCAACCCAAACCACAGTTTAACGCAGTCAGTGGGCCTCAGGTTCTCCCTATAAGAGGGTTGATTTCATTAAAAAAATGTCCTTCTACTGTTAGCTTTTGGCCCTCTTTACACTGTTCACAAATGTAACTGTTCATATGAAAGGTTCGGCTAAATTGAGGATTGTTTGGGACGCTGTTTTGCTGCAAAACGGTTTAAATAATCAGACCATAGTTTGGAATGGGGAGACTCAAAAGAATTTCTTTCTTCTCGATGCAATAGTTTGAAGATTGTTCGCATATCGTAGTGTTTAGTAGGATGTTGTTGAGGAGACCTGAAAAAAGTTCTGGTGGTAACTTACGTCCCAAGCAAACGTTTTAAGCATCGAACATGAACTGACATCAACGTTTAGGAAAAATTAACATTATCAAGTCATTAATTTTATTACTAAGTTCGCCAACCTTCAGGCATGTATTGTTTCCAAATGCTGTTGACCCATCGCCCAAAGCCATTCCACACCAAGGAGCAGTTAAAGTCACACGACGACTGGGAGAAACTTTCTTTACTTGATTGACTTAGAAATGGTTGGATGTACTTGAAGAAACCTGTACATAGTACGTTACAGCAACGGCCTAGCTAAATTTACAATACACTGTGACTCGCTGATGGAGCATTAGAGTGCAGACTTTTCATTTGCTGAAGGTTCGACATCTTAAGAGTGACTAGCATCTAATTTCTCCCCACAATATCACCCCTGCATCAAGAAATGAAGGTTAGGAGAACATAGGAAATGATCCGCAACTAAAGAAGCTCTTGATTGTTGAACAAATTCTCCTTGTCGGCACCTTAGGAAATGTCTAGAGAACAGTATGGAGAATATGCATACTGATGTTCGAGTTAATGATTATTTTCTGAAAATATTGCTCTCTTAAAAAAAGTTACAGTAGCAAATTATTTTCTTGGTAAAAATCATTTATATTATTACCTTTTGTTTTATTGCACTCTTTGATATAAAACTCGATCGGCTTTCCACTTTGAAGCGGTGCTTCAATAAAATCATGGTCAATATCTCCCAGGATACCAGTCTCCTGTTTGTGGCCTTGAATGTCACCTTAAGAAAAAAAGGCGTGGAAGTGATTTTGTTATTTCATTTTGTCAATGAACCGCAAGACCTTTAGAACGAAATTCCCACATCAACAACTGCCAGTTGCGATGCTGAATTTACATATAAAAAGAGAACCTTTATGTACCAATCCTCCGGTGGATCTCTAAAGCCATCGCAAAGCGTGAAATCCAGAATAGCCTGGACCGAGTAATTCCCAGGCTCCAGTGCAAGAAACAGAACCTCGTATGTTCCATCATTATGGTCGACCACGATCGGTGTTAAGGATGCTGGACCTTGTCTGATGTGAACTCTCCACGAATCTCCCCCAGTCTCCTTAAGCTGGCCACTTTTGGTCACGGACTAGATAAAGAAGCGACTAAATTCGCCTGAAAAGTATTGAGAGTAAATTTAGCGACGCCAAATCAGATTGCTTTGAGTTTATTATTATCAACATAACCATTAATGATATCATTATTTAAATCATCATTATTTTTGTCATTATTATAATTTGCATTAAAATTATTTCTAGTATATAATCATCATTAATTTTTCTATAATCATAACCATCACAACTATTTAAATTTTTAAGAGCTTCTAAGAAATAAAAAACTGCTAGTACAATGTTTATTTTGGCTTTATGGATCTTATATATGTGAAAAATCTAGTTAAGTTGTTGTTTTTAGTTGTAATGCATTTTTCAGTTTCATGTCAGGAGTTTATTAAATCTAAACGATTAACAGTTGGAGATACTTTGGTCTTTTTGCAATCTCACAAATATATTTTTTCAATAATAAATCAAATAGTTGAGGAAGAGGCAAGAGGATCATATTATTAAACCTTGAGTTGAGTGTTATCTGCTGCTTTGTGATGGTCGAGTAATCCTGCTCAAAATCCTGCCAGAGTGACAGTGGAAAAAGGAAAAATGTTGGGTTTCGGGTTCTACTATACAAAAATTGTACATACAACCTACAGTGTATCCAATTTAAAATAATTTAACATTTGTGTAAAGGACTGAATTTTACACTGGAAAACTTAAGCGTAATATTCGTAGGCATCATTATGGAAGCAATTTACAACGGACCATTTTTTTCCCCTTGGGAAATTAAATGCTTCTTTTAAATCTTCAGTTGTTGAACCGATTTCTTCTTGTCATTTTTGAAAGCACGAAGATGATGACAGCAAATAACAATGGAATAAATAAAGAGAAATAAAAACCTGCTTGCATCCCAATGCCTCTTTTCACACTCACATTCTTGAAAGCATCCAAACAGTTACAAAATTAATCAGTTTCTCAGAAAGGTGTGTTTATATCTGTTTACCTTGAGCTTTTACTTCCTTCTTTAAGATAAAACTCTTATCAGGGTCTGTTCTGTTTTTTGAAGAGGACTCACGCTGTGTCCAAGCCATTTTGTCATGACAGCTTCCCGACAATACTTCCCAGTCCACACTCGACCGCTGAAGTCGGCACCAGTCAGTGAAAAAACTTTCACGGTCACTTGATGAACGTGATAATCTATCAGCTGTTAATCGATCAAGTGGTAACTGATCATGTGTTAACTGATCTTGGCTAAAGTCGGCTAGTTTCACGAGGCGTAAGAATTCAAGTTTAAAAAATTCACGGACAATAATTGCTATTAAAACAAACAGGGAAAGTAAGAACAGCTTCTGTACTTTACGAAACATCATCTCTGGTTACTGGCTGTGAAAATAAAAGGAAAAGAAAATATGAACAACGTTTGACACAATGTTTGACTCAAATCAGAGAATTAGCCTCCTTCCCCACTTCTCCACGCGTTAGATGCACACAATGTAAGAGCATTGCATCGGCAAATTTATCGGAACCGGCATTTCTTTGATCGCTGGAAAGAGCGTTTAGCGAGGAGAGCTAGGGAGAGGTCTGTGAGGGGTCCAGTGCTGATAATGGATGCCAGAACCCACGGCCAACTCTCCTCGACTCGCTCTAAATCTTCCCACGGGCAGGGAAGCGTCTTGCAGCGCTATTCGGTCGCTATTTACTTCAATTCTCCTCTTGTGAACATGGGCCGATTTGACACTTCGGCAGAACTGTCCAAAAAAAGTGCTTAAGGCTGATAATTATAAATTGACCGAAACCCGGATTGTCCTTCTGTACTAACACGAGGTTTGCTTTGAGACTGCCCCGCGTCAGCCTTTAACCCATTACACCCTAAGAGTGATAAGCATCTGATTTCTCCTTGCTGTATCACCCCTGAATCACATATCAAGGTCACGAGAATAAAGAAAATGATCACTGACTAAAGAAGCTCTTGATTGTTAAACAAATTCTCCTTGTCATCACCTTAGGAAATATATTGAGAACGGTATGCAGAATATGCATTCTGATGTTAGGGTGTAAAGGGTTAAAGAACCGATCAAAGACCTAAACATCAAGGGGACAAATCGCACCCTAAGCAAGTCCATTACGACAAAATGGTGGTTCGTGATTAGTTCAAACTGGTTAAATTAAAAAGGAGAAGCGATTCAGACAATGTTATTGGAGAGAACGTACCTACCCTGAATAGCTTATCCATACGAAAAATTGAATGAGTTTTATACCCAACCAGATTTCTACAAGGTATACCCTGAAAGAGGGACTGGCCTGGTTTAACTTCTTTTCTTCATATAAACGCTTACAAATTAAACATTTGACAGCAGAGGGGATTCTCCTAGCCGTAATTCAACTCGGATGATAATTAAAGAAGTCGAGGTTTTGTCAAGAGTCGCTTAATATAGGTTAACTTATGGAAGCAACTGACCGATGACCATTTATGGGTTAAACACTCGCTTGTGCAGTGAATATAAATTGATAAATGAGCGACACTCCCAGACATATCGGTAGGGACACTTCTTCAGAGGAACGACGGCTACGATCTTCTCTCGCCCCTTCCCCTTTGCCAAAGTTGTTAATTCCAAATGCTTCTATGCCGTCTTAAAGCCCAACATTGAGAGGGACACATGAGGCAGCAAGTCTTCAACACAAATGAGTCCGGGAGTGTAGATTTGAATTACTTCCAATACGTAGTCCCCCGGCATATCAGATGCCTGAAGCTAACTTTATTCAAAGCAAAACAATCGCGAACAGCCCTCACAAAACTTAAACACACGTAGGCAAAGAAACATCATTATCCAGCGACATATTTTGAAATGGCATGACAAAAACTTGGAATATGATTCCTTCAATCATTTTTTCTTGGAATTTCTCACCTGGACAGCGCCAATCTTTTGCAGTGCTGCTTTTCCTCAATGCTCTTCCGTGCTATTTTTACATTTGGTTGCTGCGCGTTGTTGCCTGTCTGACAATAATTCATTTGTGCTAAGACTGTTGTTAGTTAATCTTAATCAATATTGACAAACTTCTTTCATGTGCTGTGATAATTCAAACCCTAACACGTCAACACTATCAGAAAATTTAAAGTTAATCTCAAAACGTGCGCGGGTTAATGAGGAAAATACTACTTTTAAAAAGATGAAATAAATTATCGGTGACAAATTTCCCGTAAGACGTAAACCCCTTAGCGACCTTTTCGCAGTGAACAGCTTGACCGAAAAAATCCTAGGTGCTATCCTCCCGAGCTATTTTTACATTCGGTTATTGTGCGCGCGCGTTGTTGCCTGTCTGACAATAATTCATAAGTACCATGACTGTTGTCAGTTATTCTTTAGTAATATTGACAAATTTCTTTTTATGTGCGGTGATACTCCAAACCCTAACAGATCAACACTTTCATAAAATTTAGAGTTAATCTCAAAACGTGCGCGGGTTATTTAAAAAAATACTATCTTCAAAAAGTCGAAAATCATCGGGGTCAAATTTCCCATAAGACGCAATCTCCTTAGAGACCTTTTCGCAGTAACCCTAAACGAAAAAATCCTATTTGTTTGCGCTCGCATTTGATTGCTTTGGTTTTTGTACGCAGATTTAACGTCAATCTCTCATCACGAAACATTAAAATGAAGAAAAAGCGTTTGGTTTGAAACCAAAGTAAAGCTAGACCCTAAAGGCGCACGAACTATTAATTTCCTGATTAAAAAAAAAAAAAAACATACCTGCCGTGAGTGAAAAGGGTTTTTGGAAAAGAAAAAGATTCACTTTTCCGCGAACCGCCATTTCGTCTGTTGTGAATTTCAGAGGATCTACCAGATCACTGGTTAGCGGCTCGTAGCGTGGGCCCGGTGTTAGCGCAATTCTTAAAGAAAACTGACCGCTTAGGAAGTCAATTTTACTAGTTACCAATCCCAAAATGACGACCAAAATCAAATTCATCTGTCTTACCTCAATTTTAACGCTTCTTCTATTCTAATATTAAACAAAATATCAACAACCGAACAACAACAACAAAAACAGACAAATAGGAAAATAATATTTATCCTTTAGTCGCCGAATGAAGTCACCAGGGCCGAATCCGCCTCTCTTGATACACACGCTGTCATTTGTCATTATAGACCTACTGGTTCCAAACTGCATGGAAAGAACAACAGCAAGGAAAGAAAATATCCTCACGGGTGAGCTGTATTTACCGAAATTAATGAAAAGACACCTGAAAAGTTCCAAGGCTCGACAGGATTCACGGCCTTGTCTCCTGAACACTTGTAGGGCCTTACTACCACAGGTTAGAGGCGAGGTACATTTTAGCGGGTAGTTCGTTTCATGAAAAGAATCTGATCATTTATTTTATCAAATTATAAAGAAGACCGGTCACGAAGCGTTATTTTTTTTTTTTTCTGTTTTAAAGATAATGACGACTTATCTCTTGAAATATTTCGTCCATTTCATATAAACATAAATTATCGCGATCTAACTATCGGGAATTTACCATCATCTCTACAGTTATCTGACCATACAGTTTGTATAAAGGGAATAGGTTTCTAAAGAAACTGTAGTGCAACGTCGGTGGGAGGGTATAACAGGGTAATTTAGTATAATTAACAGCGTTGATAACGTAAATTGACCACCGTAAAGAGTTTTAAATCTGACGTTTCTTTACGGTGGCCAATTTACGTTATCAACTCAGTTAATAATACTAGATTACTCTGCCGTACAGCTTGTAGTCTCGAACATCGTAAATCCGTCGTTTCTTTGTAAAGCATTTCCTGGAAACCCTAATGTTTGGGTCTGGATTGTATGGAAGCATGCCCCGCCTCATCAGCAATTCTTTTTTCGATTTTATCTTCTGCCTATTCCGAGTTAAAATCGTAAGGTTGGAATTTCTTTCTAAAGACGGCTGCCATCCTTGTCTCCTCGTCCTTTGAAACTTTACAAGCTTTCCAGTCCACTCTGTCGGGCATGTTGAGAAGAGCGGGACTGGCGGCAACTTCCCTGTTCAAGGAACGAAAGACACATCAGATCAATAGGTTCTACACCAATCCAAGGGCGTAGTAAAGAAAACAAACGCACGCTAATTTTGTCTTCGACAATCCAAAGAAAATTGTCCTATATTTAACAAACAAGAGACGGAGATAAAGCCAAACAACACTGTCAGAATTTATAAAAAACTTCCCTCTAAAAAGCCACAGTCGATACGATTATGATGGTTTTATGCTTTCCATTTATTAAACCCATTAATGAACCCTAAGAGAGAACAGTATTTAATTTCTTCTTACAGTAATACTTTTGAATTATTTTTTAAGATCATGAAAAGAAAGGAAATGATTGCCAAACAAATAAGCTTTGATTGTTCAACAAATTCTCTTGGGCAGTACAAAACGATTTGTGTAGATAATAGTATGGAGAATGAGGATACTGATGTCAGGGCATTGTTAATTAATATTGTATATCGCACTTTACACAGGTCTGAGAACCTCTAGTAACCTTCTCAAAGATTATGTCCCTCGTGCTTAAATCGAACGTAGGAATTAATTACTGAGATATTGTATGATAAAGCTACCTTCCAAACTGTAGAGGCATCTTCAAAGATACTCTGTGAAGCAATTTCTCTTCGTTGTCGAATTCTACCACAAAATAGGGCGCTCCAACTGGTACGATCTGCAACGAAATAAGTAAACACAAAATTAACGAATTTACAAAAAACAGCAATACAAACAAATCGATCGGCGACAAAGCCAACTAAAAAATAAAACGAGTCCACAAGACTCGTCAGTTGTGAACCCTTTGCACCCAAAGATCCGTACACATTTTCTCTATACTGTTCTTCATATATTGCCTAAGGTGCTGACAAAGAGAATTTGTTTAACAATCAAGAGGTTCATTAGTTGGTGATCATTTCCTTTATTCTCATAACCTTGAAGTTTGATTCAGGGGTGATATTGTGAGGAGAAATAAGATGCTGGTCACTCTCAAGGGTCAAAGGGTTGATAACATCTTACGTTCGATTTTGAAGTAGCTGCCGTTCACCCATGCACCGCCATAAGAATTCATATGTAACTTTACCTCACAATGCCAACACATCGTGGACTTAAAATGGTACTAAAAACCGATCTTTCTGCTTCTGATTTGGCGGATGGTATATTGACATAGCGCCAAATTCTCGCTCTCAATCCGGAAAAGTGGATAACACTAGCACAATCTGTCGCTCACACTCAAGATGTGGCTTTGAAGCTAAGTTGATATTCGTACTCAAACAGACACTGGGAGGCATGAGCTCGAATCCCGTCAAAACATCAATTTCGAGCTTCTTTTGAGCAGTTCCTAATCCTGAAGCTTTTCTACGAGGATTTCACATAAGTCTCATTAAACAGTGGTTAACTTTTTATCTGTCAAGTTTTCGAATTATTGTTACAGTAACTTGTATTTTTATTGTCGTGCACTGTGTATTCAGCTAGTTCACAAAATTCTCCATCCCACCCAGGCAAGGTTTAATTCCCCACCCCCAAGGTACAGACGACAGTTAAATGCCCGTGGGTTGCCGAAGGGAGGGAGGGGAGGTTTAAAGGTTCGAATTGATCGGGGCATTATCATCATCATAATTTCATTGTAGCTGTTTTTGTTGTTGCTGATGTCGTTCAAGTTATCATTTTCATAGATTATCATAATTATCGTTATTATTACCATTATTGTTATTTTTGTTGTTATTGTTGCTCATGCTACTTTAATGTTGCACCTGTTTCCGGTGCTCTTCCTATTCCTTTGCTGACTCCCAAGTCATTTTTGGGGTTCTGACCTGTGCCCTGTAGCTCCTCGTAAAAGAGCCTGTAAATTATAAAACAATAAACACATCACCTGACTAAGCTCTGTATTGGCAGGCACGTCCCTCATTGCAAGAGAATTGGAATCTCCGTGTTCTCTAAAAATGTCTTTTAACTCCTCAACATCTGTGAGAGGCACTGGTAAAACCTATAGATAACAAATTAAAATTGTAAGAAATAGCGGATGTCAGGATGGCCGAGCGGTCTAAGGCGCCAGACTCAAGGATAATCTCCTTCCCAGTGCTAGCTGGGCCGGGTCTTCTGGTCTCCAAATGGAGGCGTGGGTTCGAATCCCACTTCTGACAAGCGCTTTTTTTTTCTGATTTTCTTTTTTTTTCTTTTTATGATTTACAGGTTACCTTTCGTGTTTTTCTTTCTGTTACTACGAGGATGATTACAAGTTTTACCTGAAGTTGAAGGTGCTGTGTGTAATAATTCCTTTCAAAAATAACACAGGATTTGCCTTCTTTGTGATACATTTTTCGAAGCGCTCTCTTGTACCTGCTTTAGTGTTAAAGAATTCGAACACTCTTTCACACAGGACAATCAAAGATCACAACCACTATAGATTCTTTCCCAACATGCTCTATAAAGGATATTTTTCAATTTCCATGAGAACGTCCTGTAATAAAACAAAAAAGTAACTTTGACTTAAGGCTACTATCAGTTTTATCACACTCAGTGTTGAACTGCAATATTACAGTACAGCGTCGAAACGTTACTTTACCGGCGCTGCACAATTAAGTCATAGTTCAGTAAAGAGTATATGATGGAAAAAGGAGGAGTGCTCTCTATAAACCCCCACACCCACCCCCACAAAAATGAAGGACCGTGAAGGACTTATAACCGGTTTATTTAATTCCTAACCTAATGATAACTGTTGTGTAAATCGACATAAAGACTTAATCAAAGGGGTGAAAAAGGTTCCATGACGGGAGAACAAGAGCGGGAAACTTAATTCGCATACTAGGATTGTTGTCAGTTAATCTAAACCTTCAGAAAAGGAAAATCTAAGCATTAGGCGTTAATAGACAAAATAAAAAAAAAAACGATGATAATCAGCTGGTTTTTTTTTTTCGTTTACAGGTATTAGAACTTAGAACCTGTGTTTGTGTAAGAAAGTGTGTATTGGAAAGGGGAGGCCGGGCGGGTAAGTAACTCGCTTGCTGCTTCGGTGTTCCGTGGATACTCAATCACGAATAGGTTGTCCTTGTTGACGAAATTTGCGACTCACGATTAGCTAAAGCCTTTTCAGCTAAATATCTAAGCTTTTTGGGAGGCGTAAACTTAGGGACAAGTCCTCATGGAAACTTAATATCTGATTGCTCAATCTTTTTTTCAAAAGCTACGTTATCGAAAACGTTAGAAATTAAAAAAGGCCGCACCACCTTTTTCGTTGAGTAATTTCTTTTAGCTCATAATACTTGAAATTTCAACAGCCTTTCATGCGTTGCTATATCTAAACCGTGGTTTGGAAACAGAAGTCAAAAGGTCTTTCCTACCTCTGTCAATTTAACTGTTGATTCGAAATGCGCGATGGGACAGATCAATACATGATCAGCTACCAGACCTCCTTTAGCCAACGCCACGTACGACTGATGACAAATGGAGAATCATATCAAAAGTTGAATTCATTTTGTTGGGGAAGGTACTTATGTTGATCATGGTCTAAAATGATATTTAACGTCTATTGAAGCGCTTTCCAGTTGTTTTACGTTATAGAACCACAGCACTTTGACAAACATTTTGTCTCGTAAGTCTCGTAAGTTTTCCAAGTTTCGCCTTTGAACAGACTTTTCTTGCACGTTATTCAAAATTTGTCACTTCAGAGATTCTGGCAAGACTTTTGAGCGGAGACATACTTACAGCGTCTCCCACACTGACAACCAAATGTTTCTCGACCTCAGGACTCCCCAGGCAGAACCAACAGGAACCTTTTAAGGGAGCTAAAGGAAAAAAGAGTAAATATGGCCAAGCGTTCAAATCCAAAGCCAGGAGAAGTTCAAAGCACTTAGATCAACCTGACCTCAAGACTACGAGGACGGAAAGAAGCCAAAATGAGTCATGCGACGTTAATCCCAAAAATCTCGTGCAAATAGATGAAAAATTGTGTTCTATAAAAGTGAATATGATATGGAGATGGGGGAATAGGGGAATGGAGGAGTTTGGGAGAATTCTCGAAACCAATCCCCGACTGCGCCTTGGGTCTGCGCAACTGTCTAGAAATCTAACAGCTCCCTTGCGTTTAGAAAAAGTTTAAGTCTTGTATTGCTCCAATACAGCATGTTCTTTCCTACATCGCAATAATCAAAGGGATCATACTTACGTGGTCCTTTACGTTGTCTTGGCTGTTTATTGGAACCGCCTTCTTCGCCACCTGTAAAAATTTACGACTGGGGTAAATGACTGGAAAATTTGACAGGGAATTTACTGAGCTACAAACAAAATGTACGGGGGAAGCTAGTTTTCCAATGCTCAGCATTTGAGCAGTACGGCTTCGAGCCCTTGCGGGTTGCGGGGATATGGTGCTGGTGATACAAGTCAGTTCCAACGATCTGTCAACGAAACCTGAGGGAGGGGGGAGGGGGTGGGATAGAAGGGTTGAAGACTCCTAAGTGCCTCGTGCTTAGCAGAAATATCTGTCAATCTAAAAGGCCAGCTTGTGATTTAGAGCAGATTATATATATTTTCAGATACCATGATCCCTTCGTCGTTTTTGTCCAGGTCCCTGTGACTTCCCTGTGTTACTCATATCAAAAAAGAAGTTCTGACCTGTGGCACTGGCCTGCAATAAAACAAGTAGACACCATTTAGACTTAAGTCTTTTTGTATTAAAAAAATACAAAAAGATATCTTTTGAGAGTCTGTGAGCCAATAATCTACGGTGAAATTTACCAAAATACTCCTAGACGTTTCTGAACTGTTATTCATGATGAAAGCGAGGAAATTTTGGTGAATTCCTCGTTCCCGTTTTAAGGACTGGAACCTGTGCCTCCAAGTTTCTAATTAGGCTCTACATGGAGGCACGGATTCGAATCCTGTCCGACCCTGAATTTTTTCTGGCTTCGTTTCAATTTATCATTATTACTGTTATTGCAGCTCACCTCCTCACCTGTTTTTCATCCGCAGGTAAAAATTTTGACATTAATTTTTTTATTACATTGTGTTAACGCACACTGCCGTACTTCATTACTAGAATATGCAACGACTAAATGTGACAAGTCCCTGAGGATTTTACGCATTACAGTCTTACTTTTACTTAATTATCCAGTAAGGTTTGAGAGGTCACCTGAGACTGTAGATTTGTATTTTGGTCAGCTGTGTTCACATTGCTGCCACTTAACCTGTTATAAGGACACTCCGTGACATCTGGTGGCTGTTTGACAAGTTCGTTTTTATCCATGGATACCAAGGGCACGATATTGAACGCGTACATGTACTGCAAGGAATAAGAGAGCAGAGTGAACAGAATTGACACTCAGATATAGTGAATACCGTAAACAGCATGCATTTCTTTGGCTGGAAATCTGTGTTGTTCAAAATTGGTACAAGTCTTTGACTGAAAGTACATTTCGTACCCCAATGCTACCTTGCCCAAATGAATAACAATAAAACGATATATCACTTTATAATTTTTTTTAAACAAGGAGGGGGAAGAAGAGGGGGGGGGGGGGTGGTGGGGTGCTTTGTATAGAGGGAGTCATATGGAGGTGCTCACAGAATAGAAGTCTGTCTGTTTGTCTATTTGTTTGCTTGTTTGTTTTTTTAAATTGCTACTTGAACTACATGAACACCCGAACTATCAAAGGTGATTAAAGAAATGATTAAGTATTTTCATGTACCTTTTTCTTGTGTGGATTACCAGCTTGGGCAAGGGCAATAAAACGTGTCACGTGCTGTGCGGATTCTCTCAACACCCGATGATTCCTACAAAAAAAAATAACGTTTTCAGTAAATCACGAAAAATCTACACAGTTTTTAATCTTAAAAAGTTGTCAAAGTTATACTTTCGGAAAATCGATCTAACTTATTTGTCCTTCGCAATAATGTTAAGAAAGTAAAAGGATCGAAAAAGCCTAAATAAGCCGAGAGTTATTTTAAAATAAGATAACTTTAAATACTTCAAGTTGAGTAGAAATGTACCATATACTGTTGCTAGAATATTTTGGTTTCAGGCAAGTGGTAAAAATAACCAGAAGTTTCGTGGGGGGGGGAGGGAAATAAAGATACCCCCGACCTTTCCCCTAGATCCACCACTGCAACTCCTTCTTTCTTGAGGAAGAGTACGCGTCGCCTGACGAGAGCAAACCGCGAATGCGAAGGAGACTTGAAACCGCTAAGCATTACGCCCAGTCGTAGAAAATACAGTGTGTCACTGCCCAACCCAAAAGGGATCATTAGAAAATCAACCATGGAGTACAAATGAAGCTTACACTTTACCTTTTTTTTCAAAGAAAGGTTCGAGGAAAAAGCCGGAATTTCTAGTTAGAGGGGTTCAAGCCAAACCCCTTTTTGGCCATTTCCATTTTCAGCAGTGTACTGATAGAAGCGTATTACACGTTATTGATTTTAGGTTGATGGAAAAAGGTTTTCATTTGACATGTCATACAGGGTTATCACTTATGTGCTTGTCAAATACCCTTCTCTCACCTGTATGGAGGTCTCTCGTAATAGACTCCCTCATGACCAGTGAAATGATACCTGGGCCTTAACTGTTGTGCTAGTCTGGACACCAGTGCTGAACCATTTTTTTCAGGATCAACTCTCTCCTACAGATCATGACAACATGATCAAAAACTAATTCATGGCATGTTAACCACATGTGAACCCCTTCACTAACAACATCTATGTTCCATGCAGATGTTCAGTAACACATGTAGATCACACATGACGTCTAAATGTGGTGAAAACAAAAAAGTAGCACATGAGGCACAACTGAGTATGTCACAGAAGTTCTAACCGCATTCTGACATATTCTGTGATCCATTACTTTTAAGAACCATGGTAACATAGAGTCTATTTATATATAAAGAAGTAAAAAAGAGTCGATGGTAACACCATCTACACTGAATGCCTCTATACTTCTACAGATCATAAGTAAGAACCAATCAAAATGCATACGTTATGCACCTTATTATATAATTAACAATAATAATAATGATAATAGTGACTGTGATAGAAGAGATTGTCTTAATAATGATGATGATGATAAGAGCATACTCACAGGCTGATTAGCAAAGTTTGACACTCCTTTTGGCCAAGATGATGATATGAGGATGTCCAACCCTTTGAAGCTTTCATCTTGGCACAGAGACTCCAGTGACGTAACATCATCGGCAACGAAATGACATCCTTCCTATATCAAAATTACAATTAATTCAATTAAAATTTCTTTCAAATGTAATAAATATGAGGGAAAACACTGCTTAAAGAATGTACAATCATGTAAATAATGTATGAATCGGATAATAAATGGGAGGATCTTATAATGTCTAGGTAAATGTAATTATTTGTGAAATCTATGGGCCCTAATGAATATCACAAAAGACTCTTGGCTTCCTGACCAGCTTTTTTCCAAGGGCAAGAATCAATTACAGTGCACGTCTACTCCCTGGAAGGACATAGTGTAAGGCTAATATTTTTACAACTTAATGGTTTCTACAGCATGCAATGTACCTCAGGGGCTTCAGATTTTTCCAGTCCACTCAGATATGCAATTTGCAAACCTGATTTTGTTTTCAAGATCCCTTTCCTACCTGAAGAAATACAAGCCATGATACATTTGTTGTAAGAAAGATGGTATTTATATCAGTTTTTTAAAAACCAATTGTGACTCAATGAATAGCAGTTCTTGAAAGGCTATTAACATCACTGCATAACTTTCTCTAAGATTTCATAAAGAAAATAATAACATACACATGTAACATAATTTTATACTAAGTAGTCACAGCACACATACATCTGTGACTTAGAAGAAGAGAAGAACTTTCACAATCTTAGTACAGATGTAGTGTAATCATGAAAAGTTAACACAGTGAAAAACTACTAATAATTTACACTATGTGTGTACAGTTAACTACTCATGTATATGTTAACCAAAAAATGCAAATAAAACATACAAAAATTGCATGCAATTGCAAATAAAAAAAATTTTATGTCAAAAAATTTAATGTCAAAAAATTTCATGTGCATGCACAAGCTTGAGACATCTGCCTAATTAGGTATGTATGAGTTAGTCCTTTTGTTTTTTGATTGTTGGCGGTTTATCGTTTTAAAGAATACTCTACAATGTAATAGCAATAAAACACTACACCACTACTAACCACAGGCAAACTTGTTCGTTTCAATCACCGTTTGAACTGACCTTCTCAATATGCTGTTACCAATGCAACTTTGTAATTGGAATATATAAATAATTTAACATTTTCCAACACAATTCCTTTATGTGTAGCCAGTGCTTCACATGAATTCTTACCTAGATATGTCACATTCTCAGACAACTCTCCACCATTCTCAAGGGAAACAGAAGAGTAGTAGCTCACTTCATGCATTTCAGTAGGTCCAAGAAGAAAAGTAGGGATAGGAACTGAAATGAAGGGAAGGAGGAGTTGTGGTCATCATTACTACAGAGGTATGGCTTGATTATTCTTTACATTAAACTTTTAGTTTACGTTGAATTCTTAAATTCAGTTTGAAATTACAAGTATCAAACCAAGAAACTATTAAAGAGGACATAATCAACTATAAAGTAAAATTTTTATCGCAATGAATGGAATTTTTGTGAGCACTCTGTTCTTTACCATCCATTTCATGGTTATAACTATGTTTAACTGAATTCAGTCATTCAAGTTATTAAAAAAATTCCACCTGAATTGTTTCCTGCTAGATAACCTTCCCACTCTTTTTTAGATTCTTCACTTGATCCGAAGAAACTTCCAACACAAAGCAACATCTACATGAAAATGGAGAGAAGTGTATTGGATTTGCATAATAATCAAGTCATGAATAATTGAGTTCAAGATAAAACATTTTTTGTTATTCTTTGGAGTGTATATTGAAAATCTTTTTTTACTGCTTCCCTTTTTGTGCTTTTACATACAGGTATATTGGTGGCAAAATACAACATCAGAGCACGGAATCCGAAGGTCTGAGGTTCAATTCCTCATGGGGACTCAGAATTTTTTCTTTGTCTCACGCTCGTGACAAGACAAAAAAACATGTTTCTTTAAAGGGATTATTAGTTGATCCAATACCAAATTATCTGAACTAGCATTATAAGAATTATTTGGTAGACAGTATAGAGAATTATTGATGAGAATTCTTGAAAGTGGAAAGGTTAACTGCTTCCAAGTCCTATTCGGGTTCAAACCATTGGTTTTTGAGGCACAAAGAGAAACAAGAGAATCCAGAGAACAATTAAAATAGAAATGACAACCAGCAACCAATTGGATCCACATATCAAAACCTCAGCACAGCTTGTTAGCCTACAATTGAGGCCAATCTCCATCAAGCAAAAAGCTGCCAAATGTCACTGAGATTTTGTCACCTAATCACTGAATATTGCCCCTTAAAATCATTTACCTCAAAATCCTTGTTTTTCTTGAGAATATTCCTCACCCTTTCAAACAGAGTGTTAAACTTTCCGCAAACATCTCCACTAACAAGGCTATGAAGGGAAACAGATCCATAAGTGATTGATTTTTATTCAATTTTGCAACCATTACCAAAATCAAGCATCTGCAAGATCTAGTTGTCAAAAGCAAGGTTGACAACTCCTAACAATGTCACAATATTTTGATAATTATGTCAAACAACTCTTTAAACCTCTAGTTGGTATTAGCATGCATATTATCCCAACAATCCTCTTCGAAATTTTTCTGTGGCGCTGTGGCGTTAAACAATCATGAGCTTTTTCACTGGACAATAATTTCCTTTCTTCATATGACCTTTATTGTTTAATGCCGACTACTGGCAAATCTAAAATTATACTCTTCTCATTCATTCGTGCAAAGTAAGCTGTATATTCAAACAAAGATACCATGAATTTCTTCTACGTGACCTTAACGTGACACTTCCTTAAATTAAAAAAGAAATCGAATATTTGCGATCCTCTCTGTAATAATTGACAGTAAAGCCGCAAATGTCAGTGGGCTTACATGAGAACTGCGCACGATCAAATTTATCGCAAAAGAACTGGAGGAAAATACAATTTCCGTGTAAATTAAGTTTTAGCATTGATTAATTATGTTAAAAATCTTAGATTGCTCACATTTTGCGTGCTGTTGTCATGATGATAGTCTCAAAAGTGAAAGGACTAGTTGTCAATCCCACCAAAGAGTTCTTCGTTCACTTTTGCCGCCATCTTGAATTTCGTAGCCTCGCCTCCATGTTCACAAACAGCAAGGACAGCTGGGAAAATTCTTGTGACCACGTGGTTCTTCCTCTTTTTTTTAGTGGCATCATGGCGGAACAGGTTCGTGTCGAACGATCTGATTTCTTTTGCTTTAATCACGCCTTTAGATTATAGTTGAACGATTCTTGATATCAGAAACGTCGATTTTGTATGTCGGTTAACGTTTAAAAGCCTCATGATGAATTAAAATATCGTTTTTAGCTTTTTGTTCGTCTAAATAAGTAGAATATTTCATCGGCATGTGTGCTGTTTGATTAATTATGGCTATGTTTAGTATAAAGATCGCATAAAACGAAGTTTAGCTTCCCTCAATTGTTCTTATGTTTTTTGCACTATTAGGTTAGTTCTGTTTTTTCGTTCAAGTCGATTTGAGTTCTTTCCGAAATGAAGTTTCCTACGATATCAACACACATTTCGAAGGGTTTGAGAAAAATACATACATTCAAGTATAAATTTGCTCGAATTTGTTCTCTCTCTATAAGAAGTCAAAAGTTGCCATTTTCAAATTCGGTTGTGTTTTCAAGAACATGTTTATTAAAGCCCGCACCAAGGTGAAGTTGTCTTATATGACTTAACTAATGCGAATAAAAGTTATATAAAACAAGTAAGCCAATTTGAGTTTTTGTAAGAACTATAGAAGCAGGAAAATATTATATAGAGACAGGAGCACATCCTTAGCTCAGTGAACAAACTAACTCTGATTATACAAAATTTGAAGCATGACATGGTAATTGTGTGGCGAGTGCTAACAACCAGCTGAGGATGTCAGCACTCCAAGTTACGACCACTTTGATCGCCATGGCAAGTGAAAAATACATTAGGTGACTAAAATTTTGGCAAAAGTCACCAATTGGCAATCAACAGATTTGAAAACAAAAATCAATGAATATGTGGATATTTGGTCAAATTATCAAACATACAAAGGCTGGTGACACAACATGAGGTGTGCTCCCATTGATATGATTTTTTTTGGCAACCATTTTACAGCTGAAGGTGACCAAAAGGGAACTTGGAGCCCTGGATGGAGAAAAAATATCCTAGTTGTTTGATGCTTTTGGTACGGGATGAACTCCTTTAGTTGACCTTATGTTTTTCATTTAAGAAGTTTGTACCTTTTGATAATATTTTACAGACTGAGAGGGCCTATCAAAAGCAGGCACCAATTTTTCAAAATAAGAAACGTGTCTTGGGTCAACCTGGCAAGAAGAAGGAACTTCGATATGTGAGGAATGTTGGTCTGGGATTCAAAACTCCCAAAGACGTAAGTTCGGTTTACTTGTGGGTGCATGGAAGCCATTATTCCTCAGACTTGCTGCCAATAAACAGAAAAAGCTTTTTCTGTTTTTTTTATTGTTCTCTCAGGGGTTACAAAATGCTTAAGATTCAAAATATTTCTGTGGAGTGATTCTGAGTAATTTTTTGTGTTCTCTCAAATTGTCTTTAATGAAGGGAAAACAATAATATCACCAGGGAAGTGCAAACAACATACTTGAAGTATTTATAAATACACTTTCATTCAAGACATAAAAACCTTGATGTGTAGCAAATGTGAAGTTCCTTTTAAAAAAAAACTGTCTGTGATGACTGCAACGATTTTATAATTCTCTTGACAGGCCATTGAGGGAACTTACATTGACAAGAAGTGCCCCTTTACAGGAAATGTAAGCATCCGAGGTCGTATTCTGACAGGTATTGTTGCGAGCCAGAAAATGAAGCGCACAATTGTCATCAGGCGTGATTATCTGCATCACATCAAAAAGTACAACCGATTTGAGAAACGTCACAAGAATCTTTCAGCCCATTTATCACCTTGCTTCAGGTTTGTTTCACTTGTTTTTATAAAAACTATGATTAGCCATTAACCATACTGTGATATTTTCTTAAAGTTTATTTACACATTGATTTGCCAGGAAATTAGCCTACTGCTTGATCTTGCAGTGTCTTATCAAAGCTACCAATTACTGTTTTGGTATTTTAGAGACTTTTCATTGGATCTCAATATCATATCATAATTTGGATCCCAACACCATATCATGTGTAAATTTTATACTTCACTGGTTTATTTAGTTAACTCATGACAATGTCATTAGAAATGTGCTGATCAGTAGAACTGTCAGTTTCTAAAGACGTACACAGTAGAATCTCATCTCACATGTTCGGTACATGTGGCTATGTGTACCAACACCCAGTCCTTGATACATCTTACCAATTCAATTGCTGTAATTGTAGACTCTGTGAATATAATGATTTTATTGTTTATTGTCATTTAAGGGTTGCTTGTGCTTGGGGATGTTGTTAGAAACCCACCAGCTGTCAGACTATTTTTCACAAGCTAAATTATGAATTGTCTGGCTTTGAAATATTATCTCAAATACATTGTTCCAGAATGTCAAAAATTGCCCTCAGCGAGTTTTAAATGATAAATTTTTCTGGGAGAGCATGCCCTTAGATTTCCCCTTTTAGTAACAGGCCATGCTTACAATGCAAACATAAACTAGTTCAGCTGCCTACTCAGCTCAAATCATGCATCTATCACACTTACTGATAAGAACCCTGTGACCTGCACTTGCTCTTTGCTGGTTTCTGTCTCAATTGACTCATATTCTTTCCTGATAGGGACGTCAACCTCGGTGATGTAGTCACTGTTGGTCAGTGCCGTCCGCTCAGTAAGACAGTACGTTTCAATGTGCTGAAGGTCAGCAAAGGAAAAACAAGCAAGGACAAGAAACAATTTGAGAAATTCTAAATGTATGTTCCTTCTGCTAATAAAGTAATCTGATAAAAACTGATTTTTGTATCAGATAATATTTATTTTGGTGTTGCAAAATTTACTCCCCTCTGTTTTCTACGTAGTTCTACAAATCCTGTAGTTGTGATACCCATGGTGGCATGGTAGCCTCCTATGTAGACGTTGTCAGGCTGGTCACGTTCCGCAATCATTTATTGGTGGGGACGAATAATTGCGTGACGTGACAAGCCACCTTGGTTTCACACATACCACTTTCTTTCTCTACCTCACCGAGATACGTATTTGCTATTGGTCAGGGGAAAGTCATTGGAAAATTTTTCTCCTGGGTCAGGGAATTCCACTTTGAGTCAAAGAAGTCGTGGAAAAGTGAAATCTTGTCTAGGCTCTCTTCAAGAGGAAAGATGGTTGCACTTTCTGACCCAAAAACTAGTCACAAATTTATGATAAATTTGTGACTAGTATACAGTTTTTCCCTGTAGTGCAAGTTCACTTTGGTTTGTAAATGAATTCCCATTTTCATAATTTTTTTGAGTTTCACATTTCCAGCTGCTACTGGATCTACATTAGAAATGTTTCTCAAAAGCATCCCTTCGAACTCCGGTAGAGAGCTACATGAATTAGTACGAAGCTATTTCATCCATTTTGAATGAAAATTTGATCCCGATAATCTTATCACAAAGATCACAGTTGACACAGCTTGAAGTAGTAAAAGAAGATTTAGCTATTTCTTAACCAGTGTTGACTTCATCAGCGCTCGTCGAAGACCGGTCATTGCGCTGCAAGCCTGACATATTCAGGTGACATTTTTTCTTTCAGATCATGTTTTAAACCTTTTAAACCATTTTGAACAATTTGACAATCCTACCAGAATATTTAACGGACTTAAATGGAAAGAAAATACAAGAAAAGTTTTCTAACTTTTCAAACGTTAACCTTATCATAGCCCACATGGAACCTGTAGAGGAAAAATTGGAGAGGTTCTCTGCAGAACGAAAACTGTAAAATTTAATTCCATCAGAATATTTAAAAGTGAAGTCCAGATTAATCACCGAACTTTTCTTAAGCCGAACTTGATTCAATCGAATCTGGACCGGCCCAAATTAAAAACTTGAGTCAGATGCCATATCTATTGCTTGTTAGAGCTGTTCACAGTAGACTTCCAGGGAAAATGCTTCAAAATATCTTGTAATGATTTATCATTTAGTTCTGCAAGGAGAATCAAAGCCGATCCGAAGCTGTTCCTGCGCCAAAATTTCCTGGCCAAGTCAGGCTAGAAGAACAACCTCTCTCTTTCAGTTGATTCGGAAGCCGAACTTATCACATACCTAATTAACGTTTCGAGCGCCAGAGAAACACATGTTGTAGATGTTTAGTGACAAAATAAAAAAAACCTGACGTTCACACAAAATTACTTCCCGAAATCTCGAATCTTTGGCATGGAATACCTTCACTGACAGCATCAGTGTTATTAATGATGCTTTTGAAGCGCTAGGAAGTCTGGCATAGCACTAAATTGAGGCAGCTTTTTATTTGTTTTGAGAGTTGTAGAAATTCTCCCTAACCACTAGCCATCGTTTTTAGTATCTTTAGAGAAACATTGAATAGATAAAGAAGATTTTTATCGTTGAACACCAGATAAAGCCATATTGGTGTAACTGAACTGATTTACAGAGTTAGAGGGGTCCTGAAATAAATACAACGAATTGTATTATCACGGCGAAAGATAATAAACTCAAAAGTGTAGGTATCTTAAACCTCGGTTTTGAAAAGCAGCCTTATATCTGCAGATTAAAAGGTACTAAAAGTTTTTATAGATGTTACATTAATCGACAAAAGGCCCCTCAAGGCTAATGAAACTAAGATCATTTTAGGTTTCTTTTAGAAACGTTTCTTCACTTAAAAATCATGTACATGTTCATTTATCAGGTTGACTAAGTTGACGAATCTCATTTTCCGGAAAAAGCAAATCAAGCATCGTGTATTCTCAGTCTCTTTGAAATGAGTAAAACCTCGGCAACACAATAGAAGTTTTGCCACTTTTGTAAAATCCATTGAATTCAGGAACTTAGTACATCAATTTTAATTGACATTTTTAATTTAATTGAGTCAGCCAATGTGTTTTCCATTTAAAATGAGATAATCTAATCACTACAATACTGACAATTGAACATCCGCCATTTGAATTCAATTTTAGATTGAAGTAGTGAAGGACCTCGCTATTTCTTTGTCCTCAATATTTCTCTACCTTCTCGATCCTGTCGACGGCTTATCCTGCTGCAATCCTCAAGAATTTCGGTAACTGTCTATTCTTATCAAGCTTTTTAGAAATCTAGGGTGGGAAAATGCAGTTTGCATAATTTTTCTTTCCTCTCCGATCCAGTTAGGCCAGTTAGAAATGGACTGAGTTCGAATATAAGATTCCTTGTTGTTATAAGCTATTGCTCATTACAAATTTAAAATGATTTTCTTGTATATCACTGCTACTTATTTCTGAAGGGATATTTAAGAAAGAAAGAATATAATGTAGTTTACAAAGCCAATGGATATGAAGATGCTAGGATTTACTATATTCAAAATAAATTGTGCCATAAGAATTTTTTCCGGTCATTGTTCTCTTAGCAAGTCCTAAGCGCTAGACATTCAAAGATTTTTTAAAAACGTTGCTCATATGTTATTGATTTATTAATTGTTCCGATATCTGCGCTAATTGTGGAGCTTGCTATCGTAAAGAAATTTTACTTTAAACTCTATCCCTCATATCGATGCTGTAACGTTTTGCATTCTCCCTGTTCTACTTAAATTTATACTGACGCCCCAAATTTCTGGTAAAAAAATTAATAAAGTACAGGCCAGATGGGCAGAAAATTGCCGTGAGAATATAGTATCGGTCACCTCAGGCTTTTGGTTCGATGTTCATTAGGAAAAAAGAATCGAGAAATGAATGTTAAGATTTCCTAACTAAATTGCTTACTTATTGTCAATTTGATTTTTCAGATACAATTTAGTTAAGCAACTAAATAGTTGTTGAACTCAGTTGTTACATCAAAATCAAATGCGATTTACTATACAAAAGCAGATTAAACTTAAATTGTTTTATCTCCTTTCTACTTCTTGATCATTTTACTTTACATCAACAACAGCAGCGAGACTATGAAGATATATTTTCTTCATGTTTTACTGCAAAGATATTTATTCAATTTGTCACGTTAGTATTTACTGAGTTACATCTTGAGTGAAGTGCTGATGTTTTACAAAGAACATGAAACGGTCACAATTAATTTTTTTTTTCTCTGTTATCATTTGCCATCCAAATCGAATCTCTAAGTGTTCGGTTTCAGCTTCTTTTCGGCTTGTAACCAGTGACTTTTCCCAGAGGCATTTGATAATATTTCATTACCTGCATTGAAAACCAAAAGTTATTACGTTACAATGTACCTTTGCGCATTCTCATGGTTTAAAATCCCGATTCATGCATTATATTATTATTTTTTATTAATCATTTCACTACTTTTCTTTTATTTTCAAAAGGACGCAATTTTTCATCTATGGCTATGAGATATTTCCTTTTTTCGTTTCTGTTGGCTTGGATCATTGACTGTGGTATGTATAACAAATTGCTTTTACCATAAGCATGCAAGTAAACATAAGTGGAAAGGCCATATGATTTTGTCTGATACTGGTTTTTATGTCTGATACTAGGCAGTCATGAATTGTACTCGAGTCCAACGCACTTAGCGATCAAGCGACTAATTCTTTCTGCATAAGCAGAATTTAAGGTCTAACCGTTAGAATTGCATTTTGTTGTAGTTGGTGACCAAAAACTTGTTCTCATGGCAAGATTTCAACGGTAGTATTGTGCAAAGCAATATGGACAACGCTTCTTAAAAAAAAAAACAAGCTTTTAGGAAAAAGGCCCCAGTTTATGTATTTAAGGTCTTTTTTCTCTTGTGAAACGTGACCCAGTACACCGTACCTTTAATGATAGCAGCGTTTAATTAATAGAGCATTCTTTTTTGTAGGGTTTTCCGCGACACAATTCACCTGCGCACAAGCAAAGTATAGTCAAACTTACCTGCACGAATTTGTCCAGAAATGCGTTTCAAACAACGGGGAATACCAAACGTGGCATAATTTTTTTAAAATTATTGAACAAAGCAGAGACCTGTGGATCACATTAAATAACAAATTGAAAGCCACAGGCGAAAAACTTATCAACAATCACCAAGATGCTATTGAACCACAAATGCCTCTCATTTTCAACGCCTTAAAGAAGGTGAAAGTGGAAGATATCAAGGTAGTTATTCTCGGTCGGGATCCAACCCCTCAAGAAGGAAAAGCCAAAGGCGTAGCTTTCCTAGTTGACAATCCTCGAACTGTTCCAGCAGTTTTGAACATGCTATTGGAAGTGGCCTTTGAGGGTTTTGCTGTGGATTTAGATCGTGCTAACGTGGAGGAATGGTTAAAGAAAGGTGTCCTTTTGTTAAACACAGCATTCACAGTTCCATAAAGTGGTAAGTTTCTAAAGAAACTGTGGTGCTGCGTCAGTGGGAGAGTATAGCAGGTAATTTAGTGTTAACAACTGGGTTGAAAACGTAAATTAGCCACCGTAAAGGGTAAAAAAGCTGACGTTTCGAGCGTTAGCCCTTCGTCAGAGCGATGGCGAAGGGCTAACGCTCGAAACGTCAGCTTTTTTACCCTTTACGGTGGCTAATTTACGTTTTCAACCCAGTTGTTAACACTAAATTACCTGCTATTCACAGTTCCACACAAGGATAAGAATAAGCAGCAGGGGAAGGGAAAAGAAAAAGATCATCTTGCTATGTGGCGACCTTTTACCGAAGTGCTTATCACTTACATTAAGGACAATGCACCACCATCTGCCTGGTTTCTCTGGGGAGAGAAGGCGAAAGAGTTTGGCAAGTTCATAAATTCTAATGAGCACCTTATCGTCACGGGAAGACACCCCTCAACTATGGGGGGTACAACTGGGAAGGGAACACGTTTTTTGGTGGCAACTACTTTAACATCGCTAATCAGTTTTTGGAAATTAAACGTCGCGGTGCCATAGACTGGTCGCTATCTAGTACAGGGCGAAATGGTTTAGATTTGCGACTATGTCCTCAGACACGAATAGAACTATAGCAACGAGAAAACGAAGAGCAACAACTTAGAAATCAACAACAAAACCAATACCATATAAACTTAATTGAGCAAAAAATAAAAGAAATACAGCAAGAGCAACAAAAGATAGTGGATCGTTAGGGTTAGGGTTAGGGTTAGGGTTAGAGTTAGGGTTAGGGTTAGTGGTTTAACTAATTCTATGATGATTGGAGCAAGTCCACAATGAGCTTATGACTGAAGTATGAGTTCTCAACGATGATCTCCTTACGGCAGTACGTACGTGTCACTCTAAACTCAGCGGTTGCCAGTGTGGATCACTCTACTTGTTCTGTCGTCTCAAAGCTATGTTCGGAGTCCCAAGATTACCGTGATCGATCCAGTGAATATCAAGCAATGGAGGACTCAGATAGACCTCAAGATACCTTTTAAGGGCTTTTACTGCAGTTCCTATTTATCCCATGCATCCCCCATGCAGACCCTTGCATCCCCCAGGGGTATGCTAATAAAACTTCATCTATCATTGGACTGTAACCTCCCCAAGAGAAACTGAGCCAAAACATGTGATGCAACAGTTCAAATAGGGCAAGGAGAACTTCGCAAAAGCTTAGTTAGATTGATGTTGATAGCTTTTTCTTTGGTAATGCGTAGTTTTTTCTGTTGACAAGACTGGTAATCTTGGGGGACTGCTTTTAATCAAATATGGATTTCAATAACCGTAAATCTAATTTGTAAAAATTACTCTTTTAATCGATGCATTTAATCAAGCCGATGTTACTGTTTATCTTATGTTAAACATTTGAACCATTATGATGCGATTAAAGAACGTTACTTGAGAACGTCTGAAGAAAATAGCTTGTATCTTCTAAAAAAAAGACGACTAATTCTCGTTTTCTTCGCTTTAAGTTGAAAAAGAATGAATGTTATCTAAACCGCGCTACCGCCCTGTGTTGTAACTAATCGCAGAAAAGGCATTTTATCCTCGTAGTCAACGTTGATAATTGTTCATCAATGTCAGATCCTATGTCACAGTTAGAGGATTGATAAAACTATATACATATGATGGTGGCAAAGTAGATCTTTTTCCAGCCAAAATTTCAGCCTCAAAACTGACCAAACTGTTGATGTTCTCTTTTGATATACGGTCCTGATATTCTACGATACCAACTTAATTACAGGCATGATAAAACACGATATCATAGTCACTTTCAAGTAAAGAATTGTTCTCGTATTATAAATTGAAAAGGGATTTTATCAATTTGATAAAACAGAAACCTCGCGTCGCATTAGTTTCCTCCTGTCTTCAGTGCTACTAGCATAGTATCCTTTATATTACATGTATATCCACTACTAGTATATTCTTAAAAAGCTGTAACCCTTGGTGAAAAAGGGAGGTGGGAGATTTACAGTGGAAGCAAACTATAGGGGAAAAGAGTGAATTGGGGTTTTTAGGGGGTTCTTAGGGGTATTTTAAAGAAAAATCCATCCCACAGATGCAGCCACCTGCTGGATATTTTACGCATATTTTCCCCTTCAACCTTTCCTCGCCAATGTAAGGAAAACCATCTATAGTAAAGTTATTCCACATTGTTTAGACAACGACGCGTCGAATCAATGCGTTGTGACCAAATAGTTAGGACCACATCGATTTTCCCTGTTGTTACCCCTAAACTGCACCTCACCGAGTCTTATTGCCCATTTATTTGTGTAACCAATGTACAACTCAACGCATTTCGGCTTTACACAGGATGACATTTTTAATAAGAAAAAAAATATAATTATAAAAGAAAAAACTGTTCGATAAACTATGGTAACCACCCCTCTCCCCCACCCTCTATTGAGAGCATTGCAATTTTAGGAGACCTTGGGGCTCACCAGAATGTGTTCTCTCTTAAAATTCTTCATTCTTTCATTTGCACTTTCATATTATCGATAGTATGTTGCTGACCCACAAATGGCCATAACTAGTCTTAAGCCGGTTACTAAGACCGAGATAACTAACTAAACTTTCTAAGCTAACTGCCTAAGATAAATTGGATGAGTGCTACGACATACTAATAGTTAAACTAACTTTACCATCGAGAGATAGGTGTCTCTAGTATCTTTGTCAAGGTTGGTCATTATTAGCCAGTGCGTAATGGCTAGCTGTTACTTGACTGCACTTTTCACGGAGCTGCAAACTCTGCAGTTAATTCGAAGATCAGTTATCTTCTCCAACTACAATTGCATACTATTTGCAAATGTGTGTTCTTATTGCGATACGATGGTGCATTTCAAAATACTTTAACCATAATGATAATTCTTTATTTTTCTAGGATGTGTCTCAACCATAGTTGAGTGTGATAAAGTGGAGTACGATACTCAAAGAATAGACCAAGATGCGTATATTCACAAATGTATTACAGAACAGTGGAGGAGTTTTTCCGAAACATGAATCAGGGTAAAGACCCACTGTTAAAAAAGCCGACGAGCTGGTCAGCAAGGATCAATTCCTGAAAACTAACGTTCGTCGTTTGACGTCTAGAGGACTGCGAACGCACTGCAAGAAAAGATTGTGTCTGTCCGAGTACCTACTTTTGCAGGCAACAAAATGGCGTCGAAGAAAAACGTGATGCTACCATCGTTCATTTTGACACATTAAGTCACCGCTTTAAGTCTATTATTAACTGCAGTAATTAGTTGTGTTTGTTTAGAGTAAGTATATAACTCAAAAAAAGAATATATCGCGCTTTGTTAACAATTAATATGAAATTTGAATTTTTTTGTGTTCCCTTTTTTGAAAAACATAATGTAGGAAACGTAGCATAGTTTTCACAAGCGAGCATAATTTTTAGCAAAACTCGAGGAAAAAATCCAGTAATACTGGTTGTAAAATATGCGGCTTATTTTAACAGCATAATCTATAAGGGCCTGCATTCACTTGTCTCATCTCTTCTCGTTAACCGCCCTGAAAACCAACTCTGTGGTATAAGCTTTTATGAGCACACAGGCCAACTAATCTTGGATGATTTCGTATCAGAAAACCAATCCAAACCTTTCCACGAGAATCTAGAGAACGAAAATCAACGCTCTTAATGCTTGCGCTGAAATTCAAGAACCAACACTACAATGTAAATCCAAGGAAAGGTCAGTGGATAGACCCATTCATTGTAAACTTCGATAAGCAAGTCTTAATTAACGACCAATATAAGGACAAACTACTTGAGGATAAAAAATTCATGTACAGCCTTACTTACAAATTCCAACCTAACTGTATGTGCTTTTGTGATTTAATTTCTTGTCCTCGATTTTTAACACCATAGGATGAGAACTATTCTCAAGCTCTTTGGTCATCCTCCACTGGTCAGGTCCTTTAACCATGGAAAGGAAAATAACATGAACTTTGTGTCCAGAAATTGTTCTTTCTGTTGCGAGAAATAGCGGGTGTTTTATTGCTATATTTGTTACATGCACTTCAAGACCAATCTCGCGGTGTTCTCCACTCTTACTTTAATGATCCGTAAAGCGCTAAGTATTTGAAAGTGCAAAACCTTGCTCTTAGCCATTGTAAAACTTTAGGAAGAGATGATACCCAATTTAGGTGGTGCATGCCTGCCATTGTCGCTTCTAAGTGCTCATGTCCTGAAGAATTATTGTACAATCGGGACTTTTACCACAACTAATATGACCTTGACAACCTGATAGAATTAGAATGGAGCACAAGAACTAATTTTAAAACCTGGATTAGTCCGACATGGATGCTACGAAGTTCCTTTTGTTCATTTCAATTTTTACAAACAATAGAATCTCTTTGCTTTAAAAGCAGCAACCCTTGGTTTCAAGTATCAAATTACTAATAGTTTTTAATGGATTTCACAATGATTCCACAAGCTGATCAAAACTTTGTTATTTCAGGTGGAGACTTGACTTAAGGCGGTCAAGTGATTATATACAGTTTATAATCGAATGTGTTTTCTTCTCCTCAAACATGTTTATCCTTCTCCTCGCGTATGATAAAAACTTTTCTATGAAGTTCTCGTGGAGATTTTAGGAGAACTATTTCACTCAGAATCTATCTCGCTGTAAACAAATTTCTACCTAACTGTATGTGCTTCTGTGACTTGATTGGTTTTCCTCGACTTTCTTCACCATTGCATGAGCATAAGAACTGTTCTCAAGCTCTTTGATCATCCTCCACTGAGCAGGTCTTTTAACCATGGAAAGGAAAATAACTTTGAACTTTGAGTCTAGAAATTGATCTTTCTGTTGCGAGAAATGGCAGGTGTTTTAATGCTATATTTGTTACACTTCAAGACCAATCTCGCGGTGTTCTCCGCCTTACTTTCATGATCCTTTAAACGCTAAGTATTTAACAGATACATAACCTTGCTCTTAGCTGCTGTGAAACATTAGTGAGGGGTGATACCCGATGTAGGTGGTGCATGAGTGCCATTGCCGCTTCTAAGTACTCATGTCCTTATGAATTATGGTACAATCGGGACTTTTCATCTATTTTTATGAAGAAGAGGCCATCACTAACCCAGGCACTCGCCTTTTTAATATATCCTAAAACCAATACGACTTTCACAACCTGATGGAATCAGAATGGCACACAAGAACTGATTTTAAAAAATTGGATTAGTCTTTCATGGATGCTACGAAGTTCCTTTGGTTAATCTCAATTTTTATATACAACAGCATCTCTTTGCTTTAAAAGCAGCAATCCTTGGTTTTAAATTTAATTTATAATCTCTTGAGGCCGCTTAAATAAGATCCTAACGAGTTTTCGTTCAAAACTTGTTCTTTGTGTAAAATGCGAAGTCTTATTGAGCTACGAAACTTAAGTCAGCAGTGATGTAGAAAGGGCTAGTTAGCTAACTAATGGTAGAGTCTGTAAAGCATTGGAAAGTGAATTCGAGGGTGTAAAGTCCAATTTTTGCTCAGGGACAAAGATGTTTTTCCTTTCATCCA